AATTTTAAATAAATATAATAAAGGTAAAGCAAAAGAAAGACAATGAGAAAGAAAAAGAAACAAAAATAAATATATAAATGAGGGCACATGAAAAATAATACAAATTAATGCAGAATATTAAATAAAGCACATGTTTGATACGTTTTAATTTCTTGTTATTAGACTGGTGAACTATGGTTTTTAAGTACAGTTCCAATTCTTGTTAAAAAAATACAAATTTTAGCTTACATTGAGTATATTTGCATTTATGTATGTATATATATATATATATATATATATATATATATATATATATATATATATATATATATATATATATATATATATATATAAAACTTTCTAATAATTAAATGAGGTTTTTACAAAAAGTTGAATTAAGAAATTGTTCAACAGACTCAGAAGAAGTCTCACAGAAAGAACAAGACTTTAATGGCATTTCAGAATTTTTGTAAAAATTGTTTTACTGGATAAAATCTATGAATAAAAAAAACAAAAAAACATTTCTTTAATTTTACTTTTTTTTTTTAATTCTGGGGGAGTGACCAAACATACAACCATTTAATATCTTTAAAAATGTTGTTCCAATAAGAAATAGAAGATGGATTTTAAATGACAAGATCTAAAAATAAAGACCTAATTTTATAATTGGATTTTACTTTGGATTTTGTAAAAAGAAAACCAGCACACTGCAGCACTAGCTCTCAAAAACGTTTATTGTAACAGTTATTATTGTCATTGTTAATAGTTACAATAAAAAACAATTTTGAGAGGTAAAGTGGCCTCTTGCCGATTTTCTTTGGACTTTTTCCACTGTGTTTTTGATCGAACACCTCCCTTTGAGAATCTCAGATGTGCACACATTTCTGTTTTTTGGTTTATTAATAAATAATGTACATATATTGGTCAGTCTTAGTTCATATTAGTAAATACATTAGCTAAATAAACCTTATTCTAAAGTGTGACCTAAATTGTTTCCTGATGCATAATTTACTAATATATTATTTGCGTATTTATAAATGTTTAATATAAAAAATGCTTACTCTTTAAAATCAAACATGCAGTATAAATGAATGTTATTTAAGCCTATTCCAAATATTAATGAATCATATTGATTTTCTGCCAAGTTTAGAATTAATTCTCCTTCATTTATAATTAATATATTATATTTATATACCTATACAACTTATTTAAATATAGATACATTTTTATTAAGAAATGAATAGTACATTTACGTTTTAAATGTCATAATCTCTGTTACTTCTTTTCTGAAAGTCTTCTATAAGCTGAAACTTGCTTAGCTGCTTAACTTTTCCACAGAGTAACATCACTCTGTGGTGGTTTTTCAATTAAATTTCACCATGGATTCCTGAGGGTTCCCGGCACCTGTGATGAATTTGGATTTTCCACACTGATATCAGCACTGAACAAAGTGCTAACGGTGAGGAAAAGAACCCTAAATGGATACATTTCTACCCACTGGGCAACAGAGGATGATTCTCTTCTCATAAAACTCTCACCTGCTGGGCCACTTCACTGTCTGAACCATCACACCGGCTTGTAAAAATTGGGCCCTTTATGAGACATAATTTATAACCAGGATCAAGCACTATTCACTGTTGTGCAAGGCACCAGGATGACAAACGACTCATTTTGAAAGTTGCATACCTGAAAATTATCCCTTTCCCAAAATAGCAGTGGAGATGAATGAAGCGTTTTAATTAGCATAATTGTAAAGGTCACAGTTCTGTCGAGGTGGATTCATCTTCACATTATAATAACCGCTCTGTTTAGCATATGTAGCATAATAGCTTCGACAAGCCAAACTAATTAGATTTCTCATTAAACATGACACTTTTGAGAAATAAAGTGGTGTTGCTTAAGTGATGTTGACACTTGAAGTATTGATTTAATGGGTCTTTCAATAATCTAAATTGTTCCATGTATTGTTTGTCTAATGACCATCGTCAGATTCTTTCATTTCCGATAAACTGTTCACACTTATTATTGGCTATTGACCGAGACGTTTGAATTCGCATTCTGCTCTGATTCCTTATGCAATTTCAGTTTTAATTTATTTAATGTGGCAGCAGAATTGTATTTTTGTCCTTAAAAAAAACTACATTATAGATATATTATCACAGGGCGCAATGCACGATCCCCTCATAGCAAGAAGGTCGCTGGTTCGAGCCTCGGCTGGGTCAGTTGGCATTACTCTGTGGACTTTGCATGTTCTCCCCGTGTTCACGTGGGTCTCCTCCGGGTGCTCTGGCTCCCCGGTCGATTCATTACAACAAGGCTAACTCATAGAGGACTCGGACAGATCATCAGCTCAACCCCCTCTCGAAACCAAACACAAATTATTATGTATTTAGCGTCATCTAGCGGTTTTATACTACAGTACAGTTTTTATAGTTGCCTTTTTAGGACTTCATAATCTTAAAATGTAAAACGCATCTCAATAGGTTTTTTCATTATTATTATTATTATTATAATTATTGTTATTATTATTATTATTATTATTATATCTATTTATACTGGGAATTGCAATAAATTTATGTTATACATAGGTCTTAAATATTATTGATATGCCTATACCAAAATGTCATCTATATAGTTTACTGATAAATAATAATAATAATAATAATAATAATAATAATAATAATAATAATAATAATAGTAATAATAATAATAATAATAATCTATTTATACTGGGAATTGCAATAAGTTGATGTTATACATAGGTCTTAAATATTATTGATTTATATACCTATACAAAAAGCCATTTGTATAGTTTATTATTAAATACTAATAATACTAATAATCATAACAACAATAATGATAATAATAACAATAATATTCTATTGAATTGTAGTAAATTTATGTTATACATTATTATTGATTTATATGCCTATTTTAATATATGTTTTATTCATTTACATCACATTGGATTATTCATTTTAATCTAATTTGTTTTTTGTTTGTTTACATTTTTTATTATTATTTATTGCATTTATTTACATTTTTGACACAGCTTTTTTTCTTTTATCTTTTTTTTTGATTAGCTTGTTTATTTCAATCGTATTTACATTTTGTAATGTCAAACTTAACATTAACAGGGAAATATGACAATTCTTAATTGTAAATACAGAGTAAAAGAAATAATAACAAGAACAAGAAAATAGAGAAAATATAAATCAACAAGGGTTTATGTGTCCTTAAAAAGGTTGTCATGATGTGTCAAAAATTTAGCAATTTTTCTTATTTTTAGTCTAAGAGAGAGAAGGTGAGAGTCAAATTCAGCAAAAAAAAAAGGGAAAAATACAAAGGAGATTTAAGTAATTTATGCTTAAAAACATTTGCATTATAAAAAGTTAACAGTGTATTCAATAGACCAAAAAAATGGGATTTTAAAGTAAAAAAATATCTCTGAGGACAAAAGTGTGCCAAATTTGTAAACTTAAAAACATAGAAACTTAACTCAATCCAAAATCTTTTTGTTATGCCACATAAGAAGTATAAGAAGAAGTATAGTAGAAGTATAGGTTCTATCTGACTATCTAATTTTGTTAAAATTGAGTTATTGACATATTCTTATTAAATTACAACTTATTTACATTATCAGATGTTTTTTTTATAACTTGTTTACATTTTAAGACTTTTTATTAAAAAAAACAAATGTTACACACATAACATTTGCTGGAATGCAAAAACTTTAAAGCTCAATATCTCAAAATTATTCAGAAGATAAAACCTTATAATTGCAAGGTGACGAAATAGGGAGCTGTTTCTTCAACAAATCCACAAAATGAACAAGACGCATCAACATCAGCATATTTGATGAAGATAAATTGACAGGGTAAATTTTGAGCGAAATTGTGGAGGCTTAATGAATCTCTTTAACCTTATACCAAATTTATTTGCCCAAAGCCAGGCCTTTCTCCAGCTCACATCTTATATAAAGGAACCCCAGATGAATTTACCTCTGGGGGTAATTCTTCTCTTCTGTTGAAATATTTTGTGAACCTGATTAACAGTCCACTTTATCAAATGAAATAAGCGTCAAAAATTACTAAAAGTTAATTCTACTCAATCTAAAAGAGTTTTAAACTCTGTGTTAAAGAGAATGAGTTAATTAAATACCACATGACTTCAACCTAAATGAAGTAAGTTCACAGTATTCATATAGATTTGTTTTTTTACTCAAATGATTCGTAGCAATCGGTTTCCTCAAACAGTTTGAGTTGCCTTTACTTATTGGGTTTTACAGTACTCAATTGGTTTGAGTTCTCTTTATTTATTGGGTTTTACTGTGCTAAAATTGCTCCGTTTACTCAACTAGATTAAGTTCACAGTACTCATTCGGATTAGTTTTTGAACTTAAATGGTTTCAATCAGTTTACTCAAATTGTCCATTGTGTATGTGTGTAAATGAGAGTGCATGGGTGATTCCAAGTGACGGGTTGCCGCTGGAAGGGCATCTGCTGCATGGAATGTGTGCTGGATTGGTCGGCAGTTCATTCCGCTGTGGCGACCCCAGATTAATAAAGGGACTAATAAGCCAAAAAGAAAATGAATGAATTTCCGATCTAAGATATCAATGCAACCCAAATATCTGGAATATCACTACTAGCTTTATTAAACAGAAGATAACTTTTGGCTTATTATTTTAAGCCAGCTGCAATAGCTTTTATTAAGGTATTAAATATGGAAAGTTGCAGAAGTTATGGAGATTCATAAATAGTTTGTAACTTAAAACATTGTCAACATCATTAAACACAGATAATATACAATTAAAAATTTAAAATGTAAAAATGTGAACAGGATATTGTACACAAAAGTATTATGTTAAACGTTTGTGAAGTCACAGGTTAAATAAAATCATGCTCTTCACGGGCAGACCAGCAGGGGCGACATACTGAGCAAATAAGCCCAGAAGCGACCAGAAGAAGAAAAGCGCTTAATATGCACTCTAATGACGTCAGTCACATGACCACGTGGATGTGAATATGGTTTATGGTTCCTGTCACAGGCCGAAACAAGCATCTCTTACTCTTCGGACGCCTTCTTTAGGTTGAGTTCGCTGTCAGTGAAATTAACCATCGCCATTCGTTGACTGGTAACATCATGTCGTGGCTGAAATCAGTGGCTTCTAGCGAGGAAGTGTTCGACGAGGATGTGGATGATATTAGTCTGCAGAACAAAGAATGGAAATACAACATGGAAAAACGCGTAAAGGTATGTGAACAGTCCTTTATGAACGTCGAACCTTTTACTTAAATCGTTGTGTGTACTGAAATCCTTTTTTAAAATCTATTATTTTATTAGAATGTAAATGAGACCGTTCATATGTTGGTTGTAAGTCTTTACAAAAACCGATGACAAAAGCAACAATCAGGGTGTATAGCAAGAGAAAGCAGCGCAGTCTAGAAACGACTGCCATGTGGTTTTCTGTCAGGATGGTTTCAGAGAAGGCATTGATGCAGGGAAAGAAGCGTCACTACAGGCTGGTTTCAACATGGGATACAGAGAAGGAGCCACTAAAATGACAGTCATCGGTCAGCTCAAAGGAATCATAAGGTAAGTAGGTGCTTTTGTCTTATTTGTCATTATTTCAAGGTTTCTTTTAGTACACCGTCAGTGAGACTTTTTAGATAGTCAGACAGCTTTTTAGATACATTTAGTAGGAGTGATACTTAATTTTGCAGTTCTTACAAATTATTTTAATTATTATACTTTACTGTTATTATACATATTTGTTATGTGAAATTCACATAACAATGGCATAATTATGAGAGTAACCAACAATACTAGCCAACAGAATTGCAGAAGTAAGGCTAATTTATTGTAACTACATTCTCAAAATGTTCTGGTAGTCAAAAGTATGAATGTCATTAATTATAAATATTAAAGTAAACAATTAAATGTTGCCAGTTTCAATACATTTTAACAGGAGAAATAAACCTTAAATTTTATCCAAAATTTGGTGACTTCTTTTAAAATGACACCAACATTATAAAAAATGAATCACATCTTCTTGTTTTCATGAATACTGTTCATATTTAGGGTACAATTGTGAACCGCCAGCTAAAAAAAAAAAAACATTTTTACACCAAATAAACTATAGGCATGGTGCAAATTACAGGGGGGTTTGAGGGGGATTGACCCCCCTAATTTATGCTAGATCCCCCCCTGAAGGACATGAAAACGAGATATATGGGGGTAAGCCCTTTATTACTGAAAAATTGTTTCTCTGATCTGTATTTTAAATAATAATATTTAATAAAATAATAAAATATATGCATTTGACCACCCTTTTTATGGTTAATACCATTTTGAATGGATATTAGCGCTAATCAGTCTATGCAAGAATAAACATTCATTTAACAGATTGAAACTGCAGATCTAGTGCTCCGATAGACACCGTAAGGGCTCTATTTTGACGATCTAGGCACAAAGTCTAAAGCACAGTGTGCAAAAGCATTAAGGCCGTGTCCAAATTCACTTTTGCAGTTTTAAGGACGGTAAAATACGTACTGCACTGCGGCGCATGGTTTAATAGGGTTGTGCTTAATCTCCTAATGTGCTATGAGTGTGTTTTGAGAATAAACCAATCGGAATCTCGTCTCCCATTCCCTTTAAGAGTCAGTTGCGTCACGCCATGGCGCATTTGCTATTTGTATGACGGACTTTGTAATTGAAAAAAACTGAACACTTCACTAGCGAGAAAACAGTTAAACAGAGCATCTGCAGCGCAAGGAAAAGAATGACCCTCCTCCATTCGGCCCTTAATTTCACTTCTCTCTTTTCATGGATATGGAAACGGTGTTCTATGCACAGACATACATTAGCCTACATAATTCATTTTGTTCAAGCGCAGATATTTGTTTCAAAACTATTTCTAAATTCAGTACGAATAAATGAGCAATAATAACGAAGTGTGGTCACTTTATATCCAAACACACATGCTGTGCTCCATATGGTCCAAATTCTGACAGGTGGCCAAATCTAAGCTTGTTTTTAATAAAAAAAAAAAATATATAAATATGCTTATAAAAACTTCTACTGATAATAACACTATACAAAAGCAAGTTGTTGTCAATAAACTAAAAAAAAAAATAATGTGTGACGAAGAAGGCATGGAGGCAGTGGTTTTTATATTCATGTAGAAAATAATAATTTTTGTAATATTTTATTCCTTAGATATCTTTACATATATTAAAAAAAATTGCGTATTGCTGTATTAAGCAATGTGTAAGTGAGGTGCATAACAAAAGCGCTCTGAGCTGGACTTTGGACCTGCTTTTAGCTGGACTATTGCACTGTCTATTTTAGTTGCTCTAAATAGCAACGCACCAACAATGCGCACAACACACCTTTTCTAGACCGCAACACCCATGAGTCCACAAAGTGGCGTAAATGAATTTGCTATTTAAACAACATGGTGGAAAACAAAATAGAAACACGTTGGGGAAAACACATCTTGTGCCTTATTGTGCCAGGTGTATGATAGGGCCCTAAGTGTTTACAAGACTGTTTTCTTGTAAAATAGTTGTTTGTTTCTACACAAAGCCTGAAAGTAAGGTCAAATTAGACACATAATTTGACCTACAGTAACCTCTGAAATAGCTAATCAGAGGATAGTGTAGGTCAGAAAAGCGTCTGCTAAATGTAAATGTCTCAAAACACTGAAAACTTAAATATGTTTTATTAATAAATTAGATGTCATTTTAAATGAATACATAAATGACTGAAGGATGTCTTACACAAACTAACAACCAAAAAATTTGACCCCGCTGATGGTCAATGTTTAATTCGCACACTGACTATAGGCACACTCAAACACATATGCTCACACACACAATAAAAATCTTCTACCATTAACTTTTATGAATACTTTTTTGCTAAACACTTTTTACACCTATTGTGATGAAATACTGTACACTCACATGGGGAAATCTAGACATTCACAGAGAATGTGATGAGGGTGTTTCTTTGTGCAAAATATATATGAACACACACACACACACAAACACACACATATATATATATATATATATATATATATATATATATATTAGTGCTGTCAATCGATTAAAAAAAATTAACTAATTAAATTGCACCTTTTTAAAAAAAATAATCGCATTTAAAACACTGAAACTTGTAATTTTGGCTATTCAAATGTAAAATTAATGTAAACGCAAGACAAAAACTATTTAAATTCAAAATATAATTGTTATTAGAATTTTTGTTTAACTTGTAACAGATTTCTTCATGTAAACAACATACCCCCAATCAAGATCCTGGCTTGACAGCCATATTTATTACAGAAATTAAAACACAGGCATGTTAACGCCATTTGAATTTTAAAACCAATAAAATGCCAATTTCAATGCCAATAAAAAAATAAAAAAAAAACATTGATTTCCATGTTGGATTCTAAGTGGACTGCAAAAAATGCCAAAATACAGGCATTACAGATATGGAAAATGGAATATTATAATAATAAACTATAACATATAACATTTGGACTAATAACATTTAGTCAAAATGCTCTGGTATTTTTATCCTGAAGCTTACAGTTTTAACTGCAATACATTACGTCCAGTCAGATGGTTGCATTCTATGCATTCTGAACACAGAAAATGACTGACTTCCTCTCTACCACTTCTTGTTTATTAGTGGTGTGTGACTGAACACTGCTCTCCAACTAAACAAGAAGCCTTTTCAGCTGGCTTAGTCAGATTTTAAACAAACTCTGTTTTGGTGGGTCTGAAATATGAATAAAACACAGATTTAAAAAAAACAGTAAACAAACCAACAACAGGACAAAATTCTTCAAGTGTACCTGCCCTCAGATTTTTGTCTGTGTCTTGCTCATTACTATTCAGTTCAGGCAGTGATGACGATGAATGGTGTCTTTGCTGCAAATCTTTGTGTGTCGCTTAATAGGAAATCCTAGTGTTGTTTTCACTTCTTTACACCATATGGAAACAATAACAAAATCAACATCACATGTACAATAGTAGACCACATTGGAAATCCACAGATTTCGACAGATTTTTTTTAGCCTATTGTTGAATCTGTTTATTTACTATGTAAATATGTGTAAATGTACAGTGCTCAGGATGACAGGATGGGGATAAGTACTACCCATTTTGAAAATTAACATTTTTATAAAATTTTTCCGTGAACATAGGCAATGTATTTTGGAAAATTTAAACAAAACAGATTTTTTAAACGGATATATTTATTTAAAAACAAATTTAGTCACGAAACATCTTTAAAAATTAAAAGATAATACAATTAATTTCAAGCAAAATATTGCAAAAAAAATAAAAATACACCCTACAAAATTTTTACAATTTCCTCTTTTTCTTTTAAATTTGTATTTAATATTTTTCTATAACTTATAAATTTGGGTTTACTAGTTTTTGGACTGATATCGAAGTTATTTTGTTAAATAAGCTCCACATTTGGCTTCAGTACTGACAAATCTAATCTGTATATGTACAAATATAATATTGTATAGCTTTCGATTCAAAATATGATAGATTTGTGCAGGGTGTACTTGTATATGCTGAGCATTGTATATTTTTTCGGTTTTATTTTAATTTCTGTAATATTATTTACTAATATGCACATCTTTAAACGATTTGTTTACTATACTGTTTGTAAAGAAATATTTTCTGTCATTTGGTAAATGTTTTACATGAAAAGGTTGCTTTGTTTAACAAATAAGGGGCTGTAATTAGATTTGCATGGTAAACCTTATAAGTTAAAAAGTTCTTACTATTTAATTCTTGTTTTAAGTGTTTAGGTATTATACTCCCAAAATCATTCCTTAAATTTGCAGATTTTGTACAAAATTCTCTGCATAAATAGCAAAAAAATGTCCACAGGTTATGTCTGGCCCTGCTAATAATACTTTTTTTTTTTTTGCACACAGTATTGACTTGGTTTATATGTCTGTTACAAAATATGCACATCATAAAATCTGTTTTACTCAAAAATTACAGTGTAGATGCTTAGCAAACCATGACTATATGTATCATTTTCAACATACCTACAAGTGTGAACAAATCCTAAAACTCAAATTCAACTGAAAATTAAAAACATTTATAAGGAAAGCTTCAAATATTTTATACGCTGTAATAATTATATCATTCAGCCACAGCTGTCAAGCATAAAATCTTTGTTTAAACGTATTTAAGAGAGTTGTGTGAGCCTAAAGAAAATCAGTCACTGACTAGGGCTGCACAATATATCGTTTCAATATTGATATCACAACGCAGGACTGCACAGTATATCGTTTCAATATTGATATCACAACGTAGGACTGCACAGTATATCGTTTCAATATTGATATCACAACGTAGGGCTGCACAATATAGTATTTCAACATTGATTACAATGTGATCATTCGCAATAGTCACGTTGCAGGATGTATGCAATGTTGAGTTTGTTTTATAATTTATCACTTGTGTTTTTGATGCCTCTGATTGTATAATGATTTTAAAAGCATTCAGGTATAAGAAATTGTACCATTTGTGCCCTTACTACAACAAATTTTATTGAATTAATTTTATCATTCAATTACTGTACTTGAAAACCGTTAGACTCGGGAAACGATAAAAGACTTAGGGCATACTCACACTATGCTATCCGAACACAATGAAAATGTGTCGGGGAACCCCAAAAAGTTTATAGATTGCTTATTAGATTTTATGGAGATGCACTCATGTCGATCTCATGTCGAAGTCATGTGGTGAAATTATATCGCAGTAATGATCGCACAAATACAAATGATTGCAATGTTAAAGTTTTCTAATATCGTGCAGCCCTATCACTGACAATAATTTAGTTGTTTCTATTTGGTGATTCTACAATACTAAGATTATTCATTTCAGTCTTCTGTTGTTTCTGACACTGTATTTGTATTCTTCTTCTTCACAGTGCGCTGCGGTGCTGGTGTCAGGTTCAGCTGCCTGAAAGCCCCGAGTTAGCCTCTGTCACTGATCTCCTCCAGAGATTGGAGACGCATGAGGATGAACTGGTGGAAGCCATGAGGAAAGCCCAGCAGAGGCCTATACCTAGTGTGACTGAGATGGTGGATGACATGGAGGACCTAAATGTTGAGCAAACCAACCAGGGTGGAGAATCTAAATGCTCAAATGATGGGGACTGTTGTCGGAGAGATGGAGCGAATCGTGAATGCTGTGACGTCAGAGCAGAGAGTAAAGATTCCCCAGGAGTTCCCCCTCATGGTTCTTTCTCTAAAAGAGAGAGTCTCAGAGAGCTGCAGAAACGCTGCTTGGACTTGGTAACAGAACTCGGGCTTCCAGAAGAATTAAAACTGCACATTCAGCAGCTCATAGACACTTAAAGTGGATTCAGGATTGCATTTGCTAATAACTGCGGCATAACGTCTGAGTAACATCCTGTGTGGGCAGGAAACAAACAGCATATTCTTGGAAAGAAAATAGCCTGTGCATCAGTTGACTCAAACTGATTAAGTACTTGAGGGAGTTTATTTATATATTTTTTACACTGTGATTGATTTTTCTGCATTTTTTTACATACACTATCATCAACGCTGAGCATTTTGAGACCTTTTGAGGAATTGTGTGATATGATGTGAACAGTTGAATCCTTATTCACTTGTCAGGGATAAAAAAAATAAATGCAATGAGTTGATAAGAAATCTATGTTTTGCAATAAAACATTTCAACTTTGTATAGTGATTCATTTTAATTCCACCATACATGGGCAAACTGAGCGAATTACCACCCAATAAAGCGATTCGTTTAAGCAAGCTGTTGTGTAGCAACTTATTTATGCTTCTATTTATCCTATTTATTTAGCCATTTTGATTTATATGATGTATTTATATAAACAAAATTAAGCAGCTTGGAGCATGGGTCAGGTATCAAATAACTAGGGCACGATTTCTAATGTGTGTGTATTTTTGTTTAGCGGGTTGCATCTCTAGAAATGTCAGCAGAATTATTAGTAATCTATAAACCATCCTGTTTTGAACATTAATCTATGAGGAAAAGTCTATACCCTTCCAGAAAATAAGTGAGCTTAATTGTAGTGAAAGTGCAGTTCTAGTTAAATGTATCAAAGCAGTTATAATAACTTTCCTAATCCTAGTTCTGACCGGCGGGGTTGATATAGTTGTGTGCTGTGTGGATAATATGTGGCTAATGGATGTGGAGACCTTTAGAATCAGATTTCACTACATTCCTTTAATCTGAAACTGCACTGCTTCTCACATGTAAGCAAAACTCAAGAACAAATAAGGGTACTCCCTGGGCTACTTTTAAGTCATATTATTGGTCAGTTAAAACAACTTATTCGATTAAAACTTACTTTTAACAGTTCAAGAAAGCTTGCAGTTCAATGAGTTCCTGTGGGGAGTATATTCATAGACGGAAAGTGAAACTACAGTCATTAATACACGTCGATCTTCCTGGACGCAAAAATGGACGATTCTATTGAGAAGTGAAAGGACAAGTCTTCAGATTTAGGTAGGAATCATGGCATTTATATATTTTAGCGTTCGTGACATAAAGATAAATGTGCAATATTGATTAGCCTACAGATACACGTGATGTTGTTGACAGTTCACGTTGTTAACGCCAAACCTTTGAACATTAGTAAAAAATATATTCAGTTTGTATTTGAATCTCTTAAAATTTAATTTATTTTGAAATAAGAGCACTTCGAATATGTGTTTTGGACAAAGTGCTGCAACTGTGTCTTGTCAACAACCATCATTCCGAGGCTGCGGACGCTTGTGCCATGCTGGGCTATACACCCTCTGTCACCATAACAAATAAACGCACTAAAACTCGTATAAGGAAGAATGCAAGGATAGCGAACATCAATGTCTTCGTGAAACTGAAAGAAGTAATTAGCAACAACCTGTTTAGCTGGAACTATTGAAAGTGGTTCAAACGTGAGTGTATAGATAGACAATGTATGACACTTTTACAAATTTAAGCAAAAATGTCGTCAGATTAGTTCGTATTTGCATAAAAATGTTAACCATTTAGTGCAAACTCTTTTATACTATTATTTAGACAGCTCAGATTATGCTTTGACTTCAGATGAAATTATAAATCATTATTTTATGACCCTAAATTTCAGTCAGATCAGTTGTCATTTGATTGAATCCTATAGCTAGTAAAACCAGTATTTATCACTGATTCATGGAACATGGGGCAAATAGTGCATTAATAATCAATTTAACACAACTATTCCTTTTTTTCTTTTAGAATTGATGTTTATCTTTATTTTAGCAAATTCTTGCTACATCTAAAACAGTGCTTCTACAGAGAAGAGTTAGTCATGTCATCAAACATTTTTATCAATAGCAACATCTCATATTAAACTAATGTTCTGTGACAATGACATATGTTATGATTTTAAAGTTATGTCTGCAATTAATGTCAACACTGTATGGTGTTTTTTATATCGTTATTAGCAATTTAGACACTTATATCAATTGTTATTTTTATGTTGTTTTATATTGTTTTTATAGTGTTAAGTTATAAGTGGTAGTCATCACTCTAAAGGACCCCTTGCCACAGTTTACCTCTGCAAAGTACATCAGTGTCAGATAGGTTTATATATGTTTTATAGTTTTAGAATGCTAATGGTAAAATATCCTGTCACAATCAGGATATATGAACAACACCGTCCTCCAGTTTCTGAGGAAATGATTTTTCTCTGAAACTGGCTGCACTAGCAGCTTGCTTCAAGGGAACAAACAATGGCAACTATGCATAAGCTCCGTTATGGTTTGTGAAAGAAATAGCTAAAATGTTAACACCGTCAGATCCCAACACCATCAGATTTTCTTAAATCTAAATCTTGAAAAGAACAGAATAAGTGTAAATGTTTTAAAAGGTTTTAAAACAATAACATACAGTTTGTTGCGATTGTTTTAATTCAGTAATCAGGGGATTCAATGTGTCTAATAGTTAAAATGACTACAAATTCAGGTTTATGTTAATGTTCTCAGTACTGTCACATTCATCACATTAATATTTTGAAAATAGTTCACTTAGCCATCATACATTTGTTGGATACGACTCACCTTGTGTTTTTATGCAGTTTAGAAGACAATGTAAAATAACCCCATAGCCAGATAAGTAGAGAGCTACAAGCTGCTTGAAGCGAATAAAACACACAATACATAGTTTGTAAGCTTTAGAGAAGAATGAGGCAACCATTTTAATCACACTTTCAGGTGGTTTTGAGGAAGAAGAAGCTGGTTTAAATAAACTGTGTGACAAAGTCCCATACATCAGTAGCCTTTGGTGCTGATCAAACATCCAGCGAATCCTGCTAGGTTAGGTAACAGTAGCAGTCATCAGTAAAAGGACTTTTATGAGGGTCAAGTTTTCCCTGGGCAATGTTACATTTAGGCGTCACGACGGAACAGCTAAAAATTCGAAAGTAAAACGACTCTGAGTCCACTTTTTTGGAGCGATTCTAGCTTTAACCATGGTGAACTTTCAGATTTAAACCTCAGATGTTTTCATTTACTTAGATTTGTTACACAACAACACCATGGAGGGTCATTTTCAAAAACCCATAATAGAGAAAAAATTTTAAGTTGTATCAAAGCCTGGTTCAATATCTTAGTATACTTAAGATACAAAAACGTAGTTTCATTTGTCAAAGTACACTTTTTTTTCAGTTGTAAGAATGAGAGGTTGTGTCCGTGAGCATATGTAACTGCTTTAAAACTTCAAATGTTTTTCATAAATATGAGAACATTAAAGGGTAGCTAAATCTCCAACACTATTCTTTAAAACATCACAATGTCCTTTCCTGCAATATCTGAATGTATATTCGGTGCAAAATTCTTTGTAGATATCCAGTCCTTTGTAACAGTGGTCACACAAAAAATAAAAATAAAATATGTACACCTACATAACTAACCCAAACAGTTATATGTCTTAACACCAAAATATGAGAAAAAAAAGTATTATTATTTAGGTGAGGTTTGAACTTCCACATAAAAATAAAATATGTACACCTATGTAAGTAACCCAAACAGTATTATATGTCTAAACACACACAAAAAAAAAGTATTATTATTTAGGTGAGGTTCAATCTCGGGTCGGCGGCGTCGTAACACAATATGCTGACCACTGGACCACAATGGCGCTGTTATGTTGGCACGTGTGGCATAAAAAATAAGCATTGTACTGTTACTTGCAAGACTTTGGCTTATTGGCCTAAACTTTTTTTCCCCTTTTTATATTTCTGATCAAGTAATGTTAGATTTATTAATGTTGTTCATCATCTGATTTTCTTTGAGCATGTGTAATATTCATTAATATTAATTATTGTAATTCTTGTATTCACTAAGGTGCAGCTGTTTTTTTTTTGGATAAAAGCGTCTGCTAAATGACTAAATGTAAAATGACTAAAGCTGTCATCATTAACCTGCAGGCTGCATTTTGCTCACGGGGCTGCGATAAAATAAATAAAAAGAGCAGAACTGCGGCAAAATATTAAATAAAAAGTGTGAGGCTATAGTCAAATAAATAAATAAATAAATGAAAAAAAGGACACCGGCTCTTGCGGCCAAAAAACGGACCGGCTGACCCAATTCTCACGGTCCTCCCGATTAGCCAATCTGGGCCTGAATAGTGACCAGCTATTGACAATTTTCTTTTTAGGGCAAATTTTGTCTTTAATTTAGCTACAGTTTAATGAGCTTATTATAATTATTAGTAAGTCATAATAAAAGCAATAATAATTTGTAGAAATAACATTACATTTAGAATAGTTCTTTTTTTAATTTGTAAATTTGTAATCATGATTATCATTGTAAATATGTGATGTCAGTTTTGTTTTTTTGCTTTTGTGTGTGTGTGTATTTTTTTTTTTTAAATGTACAGACTAATAAAGAGTTTTGTGATTTCATCTACAGGTTTGAACAGATGACCAGATACCAAGAAGTGCAGTTTACAGTCTGCTCCTGCAGCTGGACTAGTCTTGCCGAAAGATTTTATTCACAGACACTGCTCAAATGTATTTGTACAAGACATGTAGGATCCCGTCTGGAGAAATAATATTTGTATATGGCTAACCCTCTGGAAGTGAAAGCGGCTTGCGCTAGATAACTGCACATACTTTGGTTTTAGACCCAGTGAAAGTGGATTTATTAAAAGTTTTCACTGAGTTCTGTGCCAATATGGGGAACTGTTTGGACTGTTGTGGACAAAAAGCCCCATGTGACCATACAGAGGATGAAACTAAAGGTTTACTGCCCAGCTCTGAATCAAAGACTGGAACAGAAGTTTGCACCAGTCCAGATGAGGAGTGCAGGTAAATATATGAATTGTCTTTTTAATTCAGGTTATTTCATAATTTCCAAAGTCATAAGGCTGGGACACACCAAGCCAACGATCGTCCATTGGTCAGACTTGTTTGACTGGTGTGTTCCACACCTCTCTTCAGGTTATTGATGCATCTAGTTGATTGATCTAGAGAGTGCTTTGATTGGTTATTCAGCATTGAATCAGACCATGAGAACAAAAACTGTAATCAAATAACCAAGTAAACAATAAAAAAAAAGAAAAAAAAAACTGGCTGTAATTTCACTACTTTTCACAAATATTTGCAAATGATATAGATTATTAGATAATCAGACATATTTGCACAAGCAAATCCCTCTGTGTTAAGTGAAAATAACTGTGATGGTACTAAATGCTGTGTGCAATTTATCTTTAGGTTTCTCTTTGTTGAATGAGAATACAGATTACAGCCTCTTAAGGTTGCAGAAAGACACATCCTCTCATGCAGACAGAGAACGTGCACTCTTGATTCAGTTGGCTGCTGTCCGTTTGGTGTGTTCAGGTGCAGCTATTTAGTCCAGATGGGACCATACACAAGCTGACAACACAGCTGGTATTGGTCTGCGCTAGTTGTTTGGTGTCGACTTGGTGTGTCCCTGCACTTAAAGATCAGCCGATTCGAATGTTATCACTCGGTTAAATGGGTGTTATCAGTGGTTATCAGCTGATAGATATGAGCCAGTAGGGGCCTTCTGCGCCTACTGGTATGCCCAGAATGCTATTATCATCCATCCACATGGTTAATAAGCTATAGATTACGTACGGCTGTGGCCATAAGCGAATATTTTATATTAGTTATTACATTTCCCGTTAATTGTATTTTATTAATGTCTACCCCTACCCTAATCCTAAACCCATCCGTCACAGTAATGTAAAAACAGATCTAGATCTGGAGTCTTCGCTATTAGTACAGCTGATTAACCATGTGGATGGATAATAACAGCCTTCTGGGCATACCAGAAGGCCCCTAGAGGCCCATATCTATCAGCTGATAACCACTGATAACGCCCATTACATTGAGTGATAACATTTGAAGTGGGTTTTGCATGAGTGGAAATGATTCTTTGTGGTTTTAATGAAAAGTGTCTTACTTTTGTTACATGTCTCAACTGTGGAGTAAATATACACAATTTTAACCGTGTCAAAATCCTTTTACATTTTTTTTTTTTGCTAAATACAAAATATCTGCCAAACAAACAAACAAACAAACCCCCCCTGAACATTTCATCCGATGTTACCTTCACAATGTTTTAAATTTCAAAAAACAAAGTTTTAGGCCTTAAATACTTTCATTTCACCTAAATATATGACCTGGAACAATACTCTCGTTCCAGTGTTATAATAAAGGAATTTTAATGCTGTACCACAGCTGCAGCAGGCACAATGATATTACACAGCATCTGAAAATAGTCCCCAGCTAGGTAACAGCGCTACATAATGTCATTAAGCCTGCTGCAGCCATGGTAGGGTAGCAAAGTGCCTTAATTAAAACTCTGGAATAAGAGTAATAGTAGTATGTAACTACAGAAGAGTGAAGCTTTAAATGGGAAAATTAAAACTCTTTTTTGTGTGTGTGAAATGCTAGTGGTCTTATCTGATTTAAGCTAAGCTAAGAGTGCTCTCTGGAGATCTGAGACCATTTAAAAATAATTAAAGTGGAGTGCTCCTTTAAGTATTGTGTTTTAGGTCTTTATTTTCTTGTCTATGAACTGAAAAGATTGCGGAAAAACTGATAGGACGTCAGTGAGAATGTTAGATTTTAGTACAGTCCAAACCCCCAATACAAATGATGTACCAAACCAAAATGTGATATTAGAAAAAAATTGTCACACTTTACAATAAGGTTTCATTAATTAATGTTATTATTGCATTTACTAATATAAATATTTACAATACTCACACAGAATTTATCATTAATCACAGTTTAACATTTATTAATCAATTTTTACAATGCATGTATGTTAACATTACTGCTCAGAGTTAACAACATGAGCTTGATTTTGCATGTTAAATTGATGTATATTATTATACGAACTTTTTCATGTTAATTTAGATGAAAATACAGTTTTTTTTTCTCCCCAATTGTGGAATAAAGCTGTAAAAAATGAAAAGGAGAAGGACTATGGGTACTTATGGATACACTGTATATAGAAGTAATGTGTAGTATAATAAACTGAATAAAAATAAAGTTTTTTTTTAATAAACATGTTCAGTTCAATTAACATTTTATTAAACATGGATCTTAAACTTCATTTATTTTTGCTATAGTAGGCTAATTTTAAAAATGAGAGCGATTAATTTGAGCAATGAGAGCAACATTTTAGAATACTTTTTTTTTTTAGCATTTTACTTATATATAAATTATGAAAATGTAAATTTGTTCACCCTCAGGCCATTGAAGGCGAATTTTATTCTTTTCAGTAGAACATTAAAGAAGATTATTAGCTAAATTTGTGGTATAATTTGTATAATGTAAGTTAATTGTCACCCATTTTTGAGGTTAAAATATAGATACACATACAGATGAGTACAACTTATTTTGATGATACATTCTGAGGATATATTGAGGTCGTATGAATCAAAATGATTGGTCTGTGAAAGAATATGAACATTTATATAATGAAATGAAACATTGTGTGTTTATTTTTAATATAAAAAACGGGTAACCATTGAATCACATTAAATGAATCATAAAAAAAGCACAGATTTAGTTTTTAATGATCTACTAAAGAAAAAAAAAACTTACATGTACCTTTGATGGCCTAACAAAATTCCGGTAAGTTTTTACATTTTTATTTTTGTATGAACCATCCCTTTAATTTATTTACTAGCTTTTTATGTAATTATGTTTACACTTAATTACATTACTAAATTACTTATATATATAGATATTACTGAAACAGCATTGGCTTGGTTCAGGCCTTGCTTACCAATTTCATCAATTAACAAAGACATCATATAAATCAAAAGGACACTGTTGAAGTACCACAAGGCTCAGTTCTTTGTCTCTTGCTTTTTACATTATATATGCTCATTATATATGCTCATCATTCATTATAGAATGAGATAATAAAGTGTTGATTTATCTCTGATGATGAACACCTGCTGTTAATTAGCAGAAACACAGAAGAGAAATACAAAACTACAGTACAACTGACTTCAGTCGCGGTTTAGATTAAATCAACTGAAATAAAACACATTGAATCACCACAGAGGATCATTAAGCAACTCTACAAACAGCCGCTTTATTTATTACCAACCTGCTTGGCCTTATTTCTGCCAGACTATACAAGATTCCATATAGTGATCATTCATTCATTCATTTTTTGTTTGTCTCTATTAAAAGTGTTACGTTTAGTTTAGAGCATCATTGTGGACGTTTTACATTATAACTTACATTGAAACGATGAATCTGCGACAAAGCAACTGTGGTTTTAGGAAACACGCGTCACTACATCTTTCTTTTTCCAAACGATGCATCATACTATGGTAGTTCAGCCTTGAAGTATGTCGTTGTTTGGAAAACGCACCCCAAGTTAGTAATAAGTGACACCTGCTGTTTGAAGTCAGTTATAGTTTTACTTCTCTTCTGTGTTTCTGCTAATTAACAGCAGGTGTTCATCATCAGTGCTCAATAATCACTTTGTCAATCCTTTAAATGTTGCGGTCACAATAGGGTTTGTGCTAGCGAAATTCTGTTGTACGGCACTGCATAAAAGGGGCGGGAATAAACAAGATTATTTAAAAAAGCGAGCGATTGGTCCATATTTTAAATTTCTGTCCAGAGAGGTCAAGTTTTGATCCTCGATTGGTATCATGCAGTCAAGTGATGCGATGACGCAGGTCAAAGTTCACCAAGCTTCAACTTTGCAATTCAGCGAACTGTGAAAATTTTTGCAAGAGCTTGCGTTTCCGGTCTTATACATTCGCGTGCAAATGAATGGAAGTCTATAGGGAGAAAAGTCCAGTGTGACCACGGCTTTACTTTAAAATTTATGTAGAGAGGGACCAAATTCTGTCTGAACTTGGTAAATTTTACTCATAGGATTTTGCTGTGTAACTATAATATAAAAATATAATGTTTTTTTTCAGTAGCTTATTTCTTATTTATTTTAGTATCTGTAGATGGTCTGCAGAGAGCTCTGCATTGTGAAATTAATGGTACATCAAGTTTAGTGAATGTTTTTTTCCAATGTTTTTTTTCATGACACATTTGACTTGAAAGCATTTGTAATCTCTCAGCAGGCATGCAGAACTAAAACCCCCACAGCCGAAGGATGAACACATTGTAACTGAGCAGCCAGTCGCCGAGGCTCAAGTTCCCAAAGCACAGAGCTCTTACTCTCAAACCATATCATTGTTGCACACTGAAGCCTCTCTTGCTACTGAAGTTAATCACAATGTTTCGCCTGAAACAGACACTCCAATCTCAGCTGTAGAAACGCCAAAAACAATGACAGAAGAACTCCAAAACATTGCAACTGAAGTCTTAGAAGCACCTCACGAAACTGTCGAAGCACCTGCGGAAACCGTTGCCTTGGTGAAAGTGGAGATAGAGGGTCAGCATGGGTCAGCTGAAGAGGGAAACATCACAGCTGCTCCGCCAGGTGATGCAGCTGCTGCTCCGGCAAGTTCAGACTTAACACTCACACCTGCTGAGGAGACACCTGTTAAACAAGCACCTGTTGAAGAGGTGATCGCGCTTACTCAGGTAAAAGCTGAAAAGAACTTGCCGGAACCAGAGCCTGAAACACATGTTGTGAATGAGAAGGAAGTGGAACAAGCTTTGAACGACGCCACTGAAGATGCTAGTCTCAGTAACACTGGAGATGTTTCACTGATGGAGAAGAGTAGCATTGAACCTGAATTTTGCCTTTTAGGTCAAATTAATGAGGTGGTTGTTATTGAGAAAAGCGTACCTGAAGTGACTGCTGAGGAACCCGTGATTGAACCAACAGTTGAAGTGGAGGAGAAACTTTCAGAGGATGTTCAGTCTGAGAAGGAAGAACAGAAGCAAGAAACATCTGAAGCTTCTCATACTCAGGAACTTTCACAGGAAGTTAAATCCCCAGGTGTAGATGTTTCCAATGGAGGATCTCCTGGCATTGAGAACGGTCTAGTGAAAGACTCTGAGAGTCTGAAGTGCGAGATTGAAAGAAGTGCTGATGTCGTGGTGGTAGAAAAGCTGCCTCAGAAAGAGGATGCAGTCCAGAAACCAAATGAGGAAGTCTTGGAAACCAAGAGTCAACTCTCAGCACAAACTGAAAGGTAAATGATAAATATTCAATTATAATTAATCACCAATCAATTAATTTATTAGAGGTAGGAAGTAAACTGGTTGACACAATGAACTGGTAGAAAGTTGAGTCTATCATTATAAAAGTTTATCATTCTTATTTGTTGTATATTAATCGACAATATAAAATTTAAGCTATTCTAAATAATAGAGTTGGGGTTGAGTCCAACTTTGTTGAGTCCAAGTCAAGATCAAGTGCTTAACCAGTCGAGAACAAGTCCGAGTCCAAAAGGGGTTGAGTCGGACTTCAGTTCTAGTCCTTAACATCCGAGTCCGGCCGAATGCAAAAAGTCATAAAACCATTAATTATTTTTATTTTGGCTTAATCCATTATTTATGGATCAGGGGTCGCCACAGCGGAATTTAGTAAATGATTATAAGATGGTAATTTTTGATTCTCTCATTAAGTTTTTAATTTTATTTCTGCAGCTTCAATAAGTTTTACTAAACATTCATGATTATAAAATAAAAAAAAAATAATTGTCATATATTTTAAAATACAATTTTGGTCTTAACACCAACATTCAATCAACATTGCAGTAGTTAATGTCACTTTTATTTTAGTTGTCACTGTGATAATAAATGACTGTATTTTATTATTTTTATTTATCTTACAGTATTTTATTTACTTTTTATACAGTGCTCAGCATATATGAGTACACCCATCACAAATCTATCTTTTAAATTCATATTTTTAATAGGAGGCTATACAATATTAATATGTGCATATACATTAGATTAGTCAGTATTGAAGCCAAATCTGGAGCTTATCTAACAAAACACCTTACAATAACGGTCCAAAAACTAGTACAGCCAAATGTATATGTTATAGAGAAATATTAAATACAAATTTTAAAAAGGGAAAATCAAGAGAAGCAAATTTTCTAATTTGAAAAATGTAGTAAAAATTTTGTAGGTTGTAATTATTTTGCAATATTTTACTTGAATTTAATTGTATTATCTTTCAATGTCTAAACATGTTTAGTAGCTAAAATGTTATTTCAATAAATATATCTGTTTAATAAATCTGTTTTGTTTAAATGCACCAACATAAATTGCCTATATTCACTGAGAAATGGATTAAAATGTTCATTTTCAAAATGGGCTGTACTCAATTATGCTGAGCACTGTATATTCTGTTTTCTTGTTCCAGTTGTCGTTATTTTAGTACTTGAAGTTAAACTAAATCTAAATGTGAAATTATATATATGGGTTGTTGACATTCATTAATTTATTAATTTATTCATTTTCTTTTCAGCTTAGTCTCTTTATTAATAGGGGGTCGCCACAGCGGAATGAACCGCCAACTTATCCAGCATATGTTTCACACAATGGACGTCTTTCCAGCTGCAACCCATCTCTGGGAAACATCCATACACACTCGTTCACATTCATACACTACGGACAATTTAGCCTACCCAATTCACCTATACCACATGTCTTTGGACTGTGGGGGAAACTGGAGCAACCGGAGGAAACCCACGCGAATGCTGGGAGAATATGCAAACTCCACACAGAAACGCCAACTGACCCAGCCGAGGCTTGAACCAGCGACCTTCTTGCTGTGAGATGACAGCACTACCTGCTGTGCCACTGCGTCGCCCGGTTGTTGACATGACATTGCATTTTCAGTGTCACACATGACACAAGCGTATATAATTAGTATTATCATCATTAACAATGTAGTAAATGGCTAAACGTTGCCTAGCCCTTCATCAACCTCTTGTTATAAAAAACTTTTTAAGCCAAATCTCTGTCTCTGTCTCAAGCATAAAATCAATATTAAATACGTCAGGCCTATTTTTACAAGTGGCTATTTCAGTAAATGCCAATCTTTTTTTCATTAATATATTTCTGAATGGGGCAGCACGATGGCTCAGTGGTTAGCACTGTCACCTCACAGCAAGAAAGTCGCTGGTTGGAGTCCTGATTGGGTCAGTTGGCATTTCTGTAGAGTTTGTTTGCTCTCACTGTGTTTGCTTGGGTTTCCTCCGGGAGCTTCGGTTTCCCCCACGTTCCTAAGACCTGCAGTATACAGTAGGTGAATTGAATAAACTAAATTGGCCGTAGTGTATGTGTGTAAATGTGAGAGTGTATGGGTGGGGAGATCTAAGAACGTTCACGTTTATCAGACGGTGCATGCTTTGAAATTTAATTATCATTATTTTTGACGGAGGAGCTCATTATCCTCTGTGTTACTTGCAGCACACTTTGCTATGAGTTTAGACACATACTTTTTGAAGCAATCAATCGCCATGCCTCAACAGAACACAAAAAATCCCGCAAATCGGAGACAGGAAGTAACATCTCCAGTGAGATGAAAAGTTGAGTTAAAAAGTTTCTCAACTATTGCAACAACAGAACGAAGAACTCGATGACCACGAAAAACTAAACTTAGAAACGAATCTCCGCCATGGAAGATGCTGCTGCTCCAGTCAAGGGTAAATTACAGGCGCTAGAGAGGTGAATTCTGGAATTAGCCGAACATTTTGACGATTTGGAAGATAGAGGAAGAAGCAAGAACATACGTATCGTTGGGCTTCCAGAGAATATAGAAGGTGATCGCCCTCTTACGTTTTTTGAAACCTGGCTACCAAGCTCTCTGGGCATTCAAACGAAATCCGACCGTATGAAAGGGTCTGGGTGTTTCCCAATACTTGGTTGCAGCTGGAAGTGCATCAGCTGTGTAAAACATATGCTGGATAAGTTGGGGGTTCATTCCGCTTAAGTGACCCCTGATGAATAAAGGGACTAAGCCAGGGGTGCTCAATCCTGTTCCTGGAGATCTACCTTCCTGCAGATTTCAATTGCAACCCTTATCAAACACACCTGTCTGTAATTATCAAGTGGATTTCAGGTCCTAATTATTTGGTTCAGGTGGGTTTGATCAGGGTAGGAGCTAAACTGTACAGGAAGGTAGATCTCCAGGAACAGGATTGAGCACCCCTGGACTAAGCCAATGAAATATTTGTAAATAATAGAAACTTGATAAATTTGTCACTGAAAACCGTATGATTTGACATCTACATCAGCAGCATGGCTGAACAAACAGGTAAAGAAATGCACAAATTCATATTTTTTTGTCATTATTACAAAATTTTTACAACAAACAAGCACATGTTTTAATACAATCAAAACCACATTCATGTTTTATAGTCAGGTTAAAAAAAAATGAACGTCTATAAAAAAACGTCTATAATCCCCAATAATAACTCCTGTATAGCAGTCCCACAGCATTCTGACACTCGAAGAGCTTTTTACAGTGTCGGGTATAATGTTTTGTGTGTTTACATAAATTAATATGGCCACTGTGTAAATTCACAGTACAGTTAGGATTTTATTGCCACATTATATCATTGTGATAACATGATTTCATTGCTTTTATTATTAGAAATACCAAAAAATACACAACTGTAATAACTACAGCAGTCGCCATCTTCAATCTCATACAGTATGTTGTAGTGGTATCCCATTTAGGGGTAAATTTTGAAGCCTTTCCCCTTGGCACTCTGTTTCAAATATTGGGATTGGGCCTTAGTTACCCCTAATAGCCTTGGTTCTCGTGTATATTTTAACCAGTCTTTGTATTCTTTTACAGCACTATTGAGTTGGACATACCTGAAGTCTCAGACTCATTGACTGATCAAGAGAAGAGTGAGAAGGTTTCAGAGGAGAAGAGTGAAGCTACAGAACCCACTCAGAATGGCCTGGACTCCACTTGTGCCTCTTTACCGTCAAGCCCTATTGAACAAAGCAGACCCACTGAGACTATGAGGTATTCTTTCTGCAGTTCACCATTATTACCATTAGGTGGTGTAACATTCTCAGTTTACATTCAGAAGTGTTCAGTTACTAAATGTACAGTAGTTAACACAGTATAATCAGACCTCTCATATTAGCAATGATGATATAACAAAAGCTTATTTGCCATGCCAAGCCAAACAACTAGCCATTACGTACAAACAAATGATATAATATTGCATCATTCCTCTAGATCAGGGCTGCCCAAACCTTTTCTTATGAAGGGCCAAAAACCAAACTTGATTGAGGCTAGTGGGCCAAAGGTAAAAAAAAGGTTGCCATAGGTAATTTTGGAATTTATTTAATAAAATTAAAAAAAAAATGACAAGAAAACATTGCTTTATATGAACTAATACAGTATTTTTTTTACATTTTATTATGAACTTGTTACAGCAAAAACAAAACATTTATAACAGAATTAGGTCACACTTTACAATAAGGTTCATTAGTTAATGTTAATTAATGCACTAAGATGAACAAACAATGAACAACACATTTACTACTGTATTTGTTCATGTTAGTTAACGTTAGTTAATGAAAATACAGTAGTTCATTGTTAGTTCATGTTAACTCATGGTGCATTATAATGTTAACAAGCACGGACTTGAATGTTAATAATGCATTAGTAAATGTTCAATTATAATTGATAAAGGCTGTACATGTGTTGTTCATGATTAGTTAATATTAGTAAATGCATTAACTAATGAACCTTATTGTAAAGTGTTACCCAGAATTAAACTAGTTTTTGCCTTGATTTGCTTGCCAATGTCTTCTGCATACAGTAGTCCTCTATCCGTGGAGTGACAGTATTTACATTTTAAAAACTCGGATTTAATTACAACATTTAATTGAAACATTTAATTACAGTTTGCTTTTTTGTAGCTCAGCAATAAAACTAACACAAATGTTTATGTCAAATTAAAAATGACGATCTCTTTGTTAAAGACATTCACCCTAACCCTCTCATTCTCATTCTCCTCTTAGTATGGTGGGCCAAATCAAAGGTTACAAAGGATCCTACTTTGGGCACTTTGTTTCTAGATTAATGTTGTCTTACCCTCAAAATGTAGGATTTCACACAATTACTTCATGTTATCCCAACACAAATAGTTACACTTAATTGTTTTTTGCAAACGTAATTGAACATAAAACAGTTAAGTTATACCCTAAATAACCCTTAAAGAGTTGTGTTGATTTAGCTCATTATAAATTAGTTTGAAGAAGTAGCAAAACATTTATTGAGTGCTTATTGAAACAGTGTTAAATTCTTTGTCTACTTTCTGTGGTACTATTATTTATGTGATTTATTTATTATTTGTGATCAGGCTATTTTGGTTGAGTATTTATTCAGTTGTTTTTACAATAGCTAAAAAAAAGATAAACTCATTCCTATCATTCTTATTTTGGGAATTTGTGATTGAAGTGCTTAGTGACCTTTGACATAGTTTAAGATATCTGGGATGGCGACATTTAGACAGTCTGAACAGTTCCTCTTTTTTTGCTCACTACATTTTATAGTGATAATAAGCAGAAATGTTTTTTTAGGAAACAAATAGTCATAGTATGACGATTACAAAAAAAAAAAAAGCATGTTGCACTTTAGTAGTTATCATATTTTAGGGCTGGGCGATTTGGCCTAAAATCAAAATCTCGATTAATTGAACATTTTAACTTGATTACGATTAATGAACCATTTGCCTTCATAGTTCACAAACAAGTTTTATACAGTAAATATGCTCGAAAATTACAAGTCAGAGATTTTTGAATGAAGGGTGCATTGCTTGATTTTAAAATAGTTGACGGGACGTCACACTTGTAAACACTCACTCCAACGAAGGGCTCTCTGCTGTCCTTCGGCTCTCCACGCTGCCAACACTAACAAACCAACCATTCACACAGTTTCCGCAACGTGTCGTCACAATGTGTTGGTCAATTTTTGAGAGGTGCATGGGAATGCGACTGCGTAAAGGCTGCACCGGAACATACGTGTGCTATTGATGGAGCGGGGTCACGTGACTCCATACACTGCAAGAGAAATATTTGAAAAAATTAACCTGGGAAAATTAGATCGATTGTAGGTTCTGAATGTCGATTTTCGATTTAAAGTTTTTAGGTTAATCGCCCAGGCCTTTTGTATATTTCATATTTAGTGCTGAGAATGAGTACACCTCTCCTGCCCTCTTTTTAAAATTAATATTTTCTACAGGATGCTTTACAGTAATATATTTGTCAGGGTATCCGTGGAGTTTTAAAAAGTCTTACATTTCAAAAATATAATTTTAGGCCTTAAAAAGTCTTTGACTGATTGACTTAAATATTGTCTTGTAGATCTAAAATAATTTTAAACGATCCTTATTTTCTTTTGTTTTTGCACTGTAAAACCCAACAGTCCACTTTATCAAATGAAATGAGTGTAGAGTGTGAACTCAAAATCCACTGAAAGTTCATTCTACTCAATTGAAAAGAGTTTTGAACTCAGTGTTGAAGGTAATGAGTTAATTAAATACCTCATTACTTCAACTTAAATGGAGTAAGTTCACAGTACTCGAATATATTTGTTTTTTTATCTCAAATGGTTTGTTGCAATCGCTTTCCTTAAACGGTTTGAGTTCTCTTCATTTATTGGGTTTTACTTTGCTCAAATTGCTTCATTTACTCTGTTGGATTAGATTCACAGTACTCATTAAAATTAGTTTTTGAACTTAAATGGTTTGTTCCAATCAGTTTCCTCAAATGATTTGAGTTACCTTAACATATTGGGTTTTACAGTGTGTAAAGCTACCCAATCAATCCAACACACATCCAGTCACCAACAAATACAAGTAAATGAAATAAACAGAATAAACAGTTTGTTGCGCTTGCATTTAGTTTAAGGCTGAGCGATATGGCAAAAATGCAATGTTGAAAATTATTTTCTATATTGAACTTTAACAATATATATATATATATATATATATATATATATATATATCAAAATCAGTTATTAATGCTTCCAGATTTAAAAGAGTACACCAACGGTGACTGAAGTATCAACACACTTTTAGGTTTTTTTTTTTTAAGTGTGATTGGCTCTTAGATCAGTATAGTGTAAAATAGCCCAGAGCTTATCATTGTTATTGACATATATATTATCACGATTCGATATATCGTCCATTGGTATTTATTGACCGAACACCATTGTCAATATCAATAATAAAAAAGGTTTGGTATGTAGTTTCGGTATGAAGCACTATAGTTTTATTAAAATGTAGCTTGCATGTTAGCATGCACCTTGGAAGCAGTCCCTAATAAGCTTAGGGTGTCAGTTCCAATGGAGGCACATGTGCGCCGTGCACGACATGCACATGGGAGCGACGTGCACATAGTGTGCAAGTGGCCCGCATGTAATGTGCGTACCATTGACACACTATAAGCATGTCTCTCCCATGTCCATTTTCCAGGTACACCTAGTTGAAAAACATCTAAACTTTTCTGAATGCCCCGGGGGCACTGTGATTTATGTAAGTAGAACTAACCAATCTGCTTCACATTTTGTATGGAATATATACATTTCAGTAACGACTAAGTACCTCAGACAAGCACAGGGCATCCAAACACTGCAGTGCTTTTTACTTTTCTCCATAAATTTGCTTCGGAGCAGTAGCAATAGTTTCTCCATTTGTAATCCTCTGACAAAATGGTCGCCTAGTTACGAGAGACGCTATAGAAAATGGTGAAGGAAAGCACGTGCCACGCTGGTCACTTTAGAAATAGCAACACACGCAAAAGTGAGGTGATTGTAAATGAAAAAGGATGTAAGGGAGTTGCCAGAGTGGCTTTTTGGTTTCTTTTCTTGTGCATCCCAGCCCCTAGCTCCCCATCTGAAAGATTTTTAGCATGGGGGTAATGTAGTCATCCAACTTCACAATTAGTAATGTTGCAGTATGTATTTGAATCAGGATGGCTGGTTCCTTTGCTTGAAAGCTCAAATGTGATGATCATAATTAGTAGTGTTTACAGAGTTTGAGGTTTACTGTATCATTATTATTTACACCTTACAGATGTTGATTTACCTTTACCATTGCACACACTTTAAAACATTTTATTTATCAAGTTTAAGAGTCTCTTGAACACTTATGTTATTTTATTATGATCAGATCAGATATTTTGATTAAATATTTTAGTTTTTGACTTAAAACTATTTGCCTTAATAATGTTGGTAAATTAAAATAAAGCAGTTAAATAAAAAAATATATATTCCTAAATGGATTGTTAAAAATATATTAAAACTATGGATATTAAATGATATAAAACATGATATTGTGATATTATTTTTGCAATATCGCCCAGCCCTAATATGTATATACTAGGGTCTGCTTGTTTTGACACATTATTTAAAATATGTGGCCAAGAAATAGCTAATTATAATTTTATGCCAATTATTTGTTAGGGCAAGTAAATTTTTTTCTTATGGGCTATTAAAAAATCTTTAGTGTTTATCCCTATATACGTCTAAAATGTAATTCTTCATGGTCGTAAGAAGGTCTTAAAAAGTCCTAAATTTGACTTTGAAACCAGCAGGAACAAACAAAAAAAAAAATTGTAGGAATGCAGTCCAATAATTATTATGCCAAATTTAATATGTTGCGGGAAAATAGTCAACACACTTTTAATAAACAAGAAAAATCAAGAGGAACATAAAAAATATCAAATTTAATTTAAGTATTATAGTTTATTATATAGCATGTAGTTTTTTTTTTACTTGTTTAAATTTAAATGTATTATCTTTCTATTCCTAAATATGTTTGGTAACCAATCTCTTATTTTGATGGATATAACTGTTTAATAATATGGTTTTATTTAAATGCACCAAAAATTATTGGCTATATTCACTGAGAAATTATACAAATTTGAAATCGTCAGTAAATAATATATAAAGAATAGTTTTTAAATTAGTATTAAAATCTTAGCTTTATTTTATTGCATTTTTAAACACTAGTATTATTTAGTTTAGTCAGTCATATTTGCAATATTTTGGGGTCTGAATAAATAGAAAAAGTATTGAAAAATATAAAAATGCTATTTAAAATACATGATATGAGTCAAGTACATATTGATGTTCTAATCAAATTAATTTTATAGTTATTTTATATAAATGAAAAGCACATTAAATGCAGGTAATACTTATAAAAACGTCTTCAATGTGTCCAAATATGGGTGAAATAATATAATAATTAGGGGGCCGGCAGGGTAGCACATTGGGTAGATCTGTCACATCACATCAAGAAGGTCAATGGTTTGATCCTCGGCTGGGTCAGTTGGCATTTCTGTGGAGTTGGCATGTTCTCCCCATGATCACTTGGGTTTCCCCCGGGTGCTTCAGTTTCCCACATAGTCCAAAGACATGCGTTATAGATGAATTGGGTGAGCTAAATTTTCTGTAGTTTATGAGTATGAATGAGAGTGTATGGGTGTTTCCCAGTGATAGGTTGCAGTTGGAACATATGCTAGATAGCAGTTAGCAGTCAAGTTAGCAGTTCATTCTACTGTGGCGACTCCGATGAATAAAGGCACTAATCTGAAAAGATAATGAGTGAGTGAATGAATAATATTTAATTATTAAAACAGATATATTCATATAATTGTTGTAAACAAGCCTTTACTGTGAAGTAGCGTTTGATCAACTAGTTTTTCTTCACCAAAATTGGCACTCAGTCATTTTGTGTTTACAGTGATTCTGTTGCTGTAGAAGACACTGAAGCCAAAGCCGAGGTTACAGAGTCGAGCATGGCAGAATTACTGAAGGAAGTTGTAAAAGATGTTGCAGAGACTGGACCTCAACAAACTGAAGAAGAAGAAGAAAAGGACAAACAGGAAGACGAAACTAGTGTTGCCCGGGAAAATGAAGACATTTCCGACACCCCAAAATCAGAGACCATTTTCAGCACTACCTCAGTGGAGGTTCAGGTCATAAGAAAGCCAGAAGAGAATGTGGAGGAAGTGCAGGAGGCACTAGATGAGTATGTGTCACTCTTTTATTCAGTTTTTCCAGCTGTGGTTTCGGAAAACACATGGTCAAATAATGTCTGGACACCAGATAGTTCACCAAAAATAAAGATCATCATTTACTCTGCCTCATGTGGTTTTAAACATTCATGACCTTTATTCTGTTTAGCGCATGCTGGTTGCTGTTACTCATAGACTTCCATAACTGGAACAAAATAAATAAATTCTATAGAATTCAATGAGTGCCAGCAATCAGCATTTTTCAAATAGACAGTTGAAATCTGATTTATTAGCCCCCCTGTTTATTTTTTTCCAATTTCTGTTTAACAGAGAGAAGATTTTTTTCAACACATTTCTAAACATAATAGTTTTAATAACTAATTTCTAATAACTGATTTATTTCATCTTTGCCATGATGACAGTAAAAATATTTTACTAGATATTTTTCAAGACACTATTAAACAGCTTAAAGTGACATTTAAAGGCTTAACTAGGTTAATTAATTTAACTAGGCAGGTTAGGGTAATTAGGCAAGTTAGTGTATAATAATGGTTTGTTCTGTAATCGAAAAAAATAGCTTAAAGGGGCTAATCATTTTGTCCTTAAAATGGTGATTAAAAAATTAAAAACTGCTTTTATTCTAGTCAAAATAAAACGAATAAGACTTTCTCCAGAAGAAAAAAATATTATCAGACATACTGTGTAAATTTCCTTGCTCTGTTAAACATCATTTGGCAACTATTTAGAAAAGAACAAAATTAAAGGTGGGCTGACAATGCTGATTTCAACAGTATATTTTTTTTATCCAACAGAAGAAAGATACTCAAACAGGTTTTAAACCAGTGAAGTTTGAGTAAATGATGACAATGATGATTTTTTTTGGTGACCTATTCCTTTAATGGATAATTAGATCAAATTAATGGATAAACTGGAGTATCTTCAATCCTCTTGAGGCTGATCCCTCTATACCATATTCTTTACAACCTAAAAACTACATTTGTTTTTCAACACAAAGAGTTATTTAAGATTTGGAAGCCTGAGTTTGTTTTCAAATTTGTATCAATTAATTTACATCCCTTATATATATATATATATATATATATATATATATATATATATATATATATATATATTTTTTTTTTTTTTTTTTTTTTTTTATGTCAGTCCTTTTGTGCCAATGCCACCTAAAAAAAACTCTGAATAGATCTATTTAGATGTTTAATTAGGAAAGCTTTTGTATTACAATTTTTATTTTATTAAAAATGTAAATATTACAACTGTAATTGTGCAGTGTACTTTTGTAATTTTAATTTACGTTCATTTAATTTAATAAATATATATATTTTTAAACTTTTGGCAATAAAATGCTGTAGAGTCTAATAAAATTATAAATAATAAATGTAAATCAATTAACACTTCTGTAGAACATAAAATATAGATTTTACACTCACCAGCCATTATTATTAGTTACACCTTACTGGTTGGACCCCCTTTTGCCTTTAGAACTGCCTTAATCCTTTGTGGCATAGATACAACAAGGTACTAGAAATATTTCTGAGATTTTGGTTCATATTGACATAATAGCATCACGGAGTTGCTGCAGATTTCTCAGCTGCACATCCATGATGCGAATAGCCCATTCTACCACATCCCAAAGGTGCTCTATTGGAATGAGATCTGGTGACTTTGGAGGCCATTTGAGTACATTGAACTCAATGTCATTATCAAGAAACCACTCTAAGATAATTTGTGCATTTTTCAGACTATTCTCTGTAAACCCTAGAGATGGTTGTGTGTGAAAATCCCAGTAGATCAGCAGTTTCTGAAATACTCAGACACGCCAATCTAGCCACAGCGACGTTCAAAGTCACTTAAATCAACTTTCCTCCCCATTTTGATGCTCTGTTTAAACTGCAGCAGATCGTCTTGTCCATGTCTACATGCCTAAATGCATTAAGTAGCTGCCATGGGATTGGTTGATTAGAAATTTGCGTTAACAAGCAGTTGGTCATGGTGTACCTAATAAAGTGGCCGGTGAGTGTAAATGTAAAATATTCGTCCTTGTGTGAATAAAGCTATTAATCAGCCTCTGTTAAATCAACAAGACAATCATAGCTATAACTAAACAGACTAATGTTTTATGTGTGACTGATAAAACAAGGAACTGATCTAAAAGAGCTAAAAAAAAAAAAATCATGACAAAACCACTTTACACCGAGTTAGTCTTGCCCTTCATGATGAATCATTGTCTGGATGTGATTTCATGCATGTTGTACATAAATATAACAGTTTAGCTCTTCATATTAGACTACTCATGACTGCATGTCATAGTGGAAAAAATATGCATGACAGTTCCTCTTTATGTTGTAGGAGTGCAGATCTGTATCTGGGAGCTGAGGAGATTGAAATGGGAGCCAGCAATAACAAGCCATCCAAACCACTGCTAGAGCTCACAAGTACACAGATTCATTTATGTCAGAAATATAGCAATATCGTGCTAATATTGCTGTTTGGGAAAGTGATTAGAGACAGTCAAATCTTTGTTAAATCTGATAACTTTCCTTTTTTCTTTTAGTTCCTGGTGTCGAGACCAGATGTAGCTTAGCATCAGCTGTGGACATACTGGCCTACAGTGAGCGAGAATGGAAGGGGAGCACAGATAAAAGTGCTCGCATACGAAAGGTGATCTAACTATCTTTTTTCTGTGATTTTATGCTTTTTTTAGTATATAAACATGATCATTGTTTTAAAAAAATATACATTGGTTTGGTGTTTTGCAACGACACACCAATCCAAAATTGAAGAACAAGTGCAGATGGAAAATGACTGTTCCCAGCTTGTGCTAGTCATCAACTATTCACCTTTTTCTTTTGTCCTATGGTGCATTGCATAGAATACGTGACTTTCATTAAACTGTAGATAATCAGTGAATTGGGTACAGTGTTGACATTATGCTCCTTATAGTTCACGCATCAAGTATTAAAGAGCCCCTATTATGCATTAAAAAGAGTCATATTTTGGTTTTGGCGCTCCAACAACAAGATGATACACATGCAAGGTCAAAAATACTTTCATTGTCTTATATTATGCATTTATTTTTACCTAATTATCCCAACGACTCCCATGTGATCAAAGGCTTTTTTTCTCATAAACCGCGCGGACATGAATGCGTCTGACTGCTCTGATTGGCTAAAGCAGACGTCTTCATCAGCGCATTGTAGATGTGCACGCGCTCTTTCCGGCAATCATCCTTCTGCGTTCACACAGCGCATCATTCCGGCAAATTACCAGTAATGTTACAACTTCTTAGACAGCTGCCATCTCTTTATGCTGTGTGCTTCAGGGCCATTTCTCCTCTGCTTTTGAGGTGGTGTGCATGAGTAATCCTTTTATATGTCTGATGTTGTCCAAACATAGTGAATTATGTTTGATCAAACAAAAAAATAGTGAAATATGAAAACAATGATCGCTCCCTGTGGCTTGTATAGCACCTCTCATCAGTTGGAATACAATAACTTTTGCATAGACCTGTGGTGGCTAACCCTGTTCCTGGAGATCTACCTTCCTGCAGATTTCACTTGTAACCCATATCAAACACGGAATTTGGCCGACACGGAATACAGAATTTCTGCAGATTTTTAGCCCATCATTAATTCTGTTTATTTACTTGAGTAAATGTGTAAATCTGCATTTATTCAGTAATTTATTACTTTTTATTTCATATATTAAGGTTTTAGTTATAATACTCCGCTGGATACTTCCAAAATAATTCCTCAGAAATGCGCAGATTTTTATCAGAATTCTCTGCAGAAATAGCAAAAAACATCTGTAGATTCCGTCTGGCCCTGGTCATGTGTCATTGCCAGAAGTTACCAAGAACTATTTGTATTCTTTATTAAATTACCTATTATTTGTATTTTAATAATGTCTACCCCAACCCTAAACCCAACCATCATAGTAATGAAAAAACAGTAATTATACAGAGTATTGTTCATATTATTTATTAAACTAATCATTATACAGTATTTTTTGACATCTACTCCTACCTCAACCCTCACAGTACTGTAAAAATATGAATTATTGTTGTACAGCATCACATAAGTTATGATATATGTGATCTAGACTAGATGGATATAGTAGGCTTCTGATGTGATTGTAAAATGTTCATACAATGTACATGTTACTACTCCATTAGGCCAGAATACATTCATATGGCTCAGATATACTGTTTAGAGACATTTTTTTTTAGCAGTGGTAAAGTAATTACTAATTCAAAACAAGTCTAACTGGATGCAGCCAGAGACTACGGTGAACTACATGCTTTGCCTAAGGGGGAAATAAATCTTTATATCAGTACGTGACACACATTTGTCAATCAAAAAGGGAGTGCTTGCTTATCATTTTAATGTTGAACTCTGTCCTAATTCCAGAAGGCCATGTTATTGTAAATCCTTGGAATTCTGTGCTAAGATGGCGTAAAATGAGAATGGACTTTTGTTTTTATATCCACTGGACTTTCTCGTTTGCTTACTTTCACTGCTGTCACTGTCACTTCTCACTGTCGCTGTCACCATCATCAGAATCTGAACATGCCACTTCAACATGCTCAGTCCCCAAAAATTGGACTTCATGTGATGGTGCAGAACATGATGTACAATCTGAGCAACAGTGGCCTTAGATTGGTGATATTTCAAAGTTGACAGGAAGGGGTTCAATAGTTTTAGGAGAACTTTGATGAAAGTCTTTGATCCACTTCAAATGTTGACTGCTGTAATCCTGGCTGTGTTAAAAAAACAAACAAAAAAAAAGTACATCCCCTTAACGGATGCATGTAAATGTTGACTTGCTTGACTATGTTTGTTTCAGGGCTACAGTGAGATGTCTCATAGCTTCAGTGGTCTGAGGAGAGTCAGAGGCGATAACTACTGTGCCCTGCGTGCTACACTGTACCAGGTGCTGGCAACCAGCACAAACATGCCCACCTGGATGCAGGACGAAAGCTTTCTATTGGTAAGGAGACCTGAGGATTCTTTTAGAGCTCAGTTGATGTCTTTGAATGTTATATAAGGGCTTTGGGAATATCTTATCTTTGGGAATGTGGCCAGCTATGAAGTAGTTGTTTATTATTAATTTCATTTTTTTTATAATTATTGTGATTGTTGTTGTTATTATTATTATTATTATTATTATTATTATTATTATTATTATTATTATTATTATTATTATTATTATTAGTGGTGGTTGTGGTAGAAGTAATTTGTGCTACATAATAATAATAATAATAATAATAATAATAATAATAATAATAAAAATAATAATAATTCCTTACATTTATATAGCACTTTTTCTGGACACTCAAAGTGCTGTACACATTGGGCTGAATCTCCTCATCCACCATCAGTGGCTACATGACTAGAGAGAGCAGAGAAAACTGCTGTAGTGAGACTTTAACAAATGTAATTCTCTGGGTTACCATTGGCAGGACAATGCGTTATCTATGAGACATTAGCCTGTAAATAAAGGAACACAGCACTTTCAAACTCATTTCAAAAGTTTGACAGTTGTGTTTTACCATATTTTAAGCCATTCAGCTAGTCACTGGGTCCGGCAGGAGCACGATTAGCTTAGCTTAGATCATTGAATCAGATTAGACCATTAGCGTCCTATTTGAAAATTTCAAAAAAGATAATTTTCTGTAGGTAAATCTTGTACTAAAACTGACAGAACATGAAATGTTGCTATTTTCTAGGTTGTTATGGCTACCAAGTATCCTCTCATTCTGGCGTAATAATGAGGAAACTTTGCTGCCATACCACGGGGTAGTTCTAAAATGAGCCCCCTTTTTGCAGTGGAGTGTTCCTTTAAAGAGAGATTTTGTTGTAGCAGAGAAACATCTTAATTTACCACTGATATAAGAAAATACAGTGCTGGACGAATATCTGCAAATTCCCCCCCAACCCCCCCAGATTCTCAGCTGCGAATTATTCTTTCAGTTGCCAGAGAGTATTGAAACTCGGGAGCATTTGATTGGTGGATGGGTGTTTCCCCCACAATGCAAGTTGGGAAGTGAGGAGAATTCTGTGGAGAAGCTGAAATATTATTTGGGTCTTCTTAAAACTCAGGTAAAGCTCTGTTTTCTTGCTTTTATTTAGAAATGCTTAAATAAAATGAATGTGTTTAACACCAATCTTAAAATCGCTATGCACTGCCACTAGTTTAAGCTCTAGTTTTAAACATTTGTTAGCAAGAACTAATTATTTAAAATATAATCATTTTGGGCATCAAGATTATTTTTGTCTGCATTTTAATAATTGTGTTAAAGTAGTTTTTTTTGTTTGAAATTATTATATCATTTTAATCCATACATGCTCAATAATGTTTATTACTGGTGACTGGGCTGGCCAATCCTGGAGCACCTTGACTTTCTCTGCTTTCAGGAACTTTGAAGTGGAGGCTGAAGTATGGGAAGGAGCGCTATCCTGCTGAAGTATTTGCCCTCTCCTGTGGTTCGTAATTTATTGGGCAGCACAATGTCTTGATACCTCAGACTGTTGATGATGTCATTCACATTGCAGATCTCTTGCACGCCCCCATGCTAAATGTAACCCCAAACCATAATTTTTTCTTCACCAAACTTGATTTCTGTGAGAATCTTGGGTCCATGCGAGTTTAAATAGGTCTTCTGCAGTATTTGTGTATGATTATATGCTGAATGACTTTATTCAATGTTATTATTTCACCCATATTTTGCCATTCTGTTTTTTCATATATATTTTTAAGCATTGAAGTTGAAGTGTAAGTAAATAGGTAATTAAGTAAGTAAATAAATAAATAAATAAGGGATAAAAAACATCAAGGCGGTTATCTTTTTTAATAATGTATGTCAATTTCTGAAATCACTTTAGACAAGTAAGAATAATTAAATGAATACTCTGGAACGTACAGTGTAAGATGCATTTTTTTCAGTAGGTTTTACTGTACATAACTTCACAACAACACACCACTCACATATTAGACGATAAGTAGACTGTTAGACTAGGGTTAGTCAATAAATAAATAATGCGTAGCACGATCGCCTCATAGCAAGAGGGTCGCTGGTTCGAGCCTCGGCTGGGTCTGTTGGCATTTCTGTGTGGAGTTTGCATGTTCTCCCTGTGTTCGCGTGGGTTTCCTCCGGGTGCTCCAGTTTCCCCCAAAAAAGTCCAAAGACATGCGGTATAGGTGAATTGGGTAGGCTAAATTTTTTTTGTGTGTGAATGAGTGTGTATGGATGTTTCCCTGTTATGGGTTGCAACTGTAAGGGCATCCGCTGCGTAAAACATAATCTGGATAAGTTGGTGGTTCATTCTGCCGTGGTGACCCCAGATTAATAAAGGGACTAAGCTGAAAAAAATGAATGAATAATAATTAATAATTAATAGTAATAATTAATAATAATTAGTAATAATTAATAAATAAACAAATAAAAAAAGTCATACTTTTATCATTTTTATAGACAGTAGGACGTCTGTAAGGAGTTCAACAAAATCAAGTGTTGGCAGATTTTAAGCAGAAAGTCTAGCAATGACTTGTATGTGAAATGTAGTTCCAAAGTTACTAAAATGTAATAGAATGTGGAAAGGATGTGAAATGTGAATGTTTTATCCAGTAATGTACAGGTCTTTATGGAGTGCTTAATTCTGATTAGTCCAAGTACACTACCTGACAAAAGTATCGTCATTGATCTCAGTTGTAAGAGCAACAAATAATAACTGTGTAATCATCTGTTGAACTGCATCCTAATCATCACAAACACTGCAGAAGACCTATTGGAACCCACATGGACCCAATATTCTCACAGAAATTAGTCAAGTTTGGTGAAGAAAAAATCATTATTTGGGGTTTCATTCAGTATTGGGGCATGCGAGAGATCTGCAGAGTGGATGACAACATCAACAGTCTGAGGTATCAAGACATTTGTGCTGTGACACGACAAACCCCAGGAGAGGGCAAATTCTTCAGCAGGATAGCATTCTTTTTCATACTTCAGCCTCCACATCAAAGTTCCTGAAAGCAAAGAAGGATTGGCCAGCCCAGTCATCACATATGAACATTATTGAGCATGTCTGGGGTAAAATGAAGGAGAAGGTATTGAAGATGAATCCAAAGAATCTTGATGAACTATAGAAGTCCTGCAAGAACGCTTTCTTTGCCATTCCAGATGACTTTATTAAGTTCTTTGAGTCATTGCAGAGATGTATGGAGGCAGTCCTCCAAGCTCATTGGAGTCATACACAATATTCACTCTTTTTCCACTGCACCCTGACTTTATATTCTGTACAATACATTATTTCTGTTGAGTGACAAGACTTCTGTCTATGCAAAGTGAGACCTTACTGTACTAATTAAATAATTAAAAATCAAGACATAATCTAGAGGGCTTTACCTTTCATATAAGCCACTTCTCATGCCAAATGATCAACTTAAAAGAAGTCAAGTTATTATTTGTTGTTCCTAAAACTTGGATAGGGGATAAGACTTTTGTCTGGTAATGTACATAATCCCCTACCGTAAGTCAATTAAAGTTTTGACAGAACTTTATGTGGTTATGAAAGTGAAAATATCATCATTGTTACTTCCTTCTCATGTATTAGTGTCTTTATGTTTTGCTTATTTAGTGGAGAGCAGCAGTGGCCTGTGAGAGCCCAGAGGAGAAGCAGAGTCTCTGTGAACATGTGTTTCAAGGTGGAGATGAGGAATATGGTCTCCTGGAAGCACTCAAGTTCCTGATGCTGGCCAAAGCCATTGAGCTTCATCGTAAAATGGTGACAGATCAAGAAGTGCCTGTGTTCTGCTGGCTTCTCTTTGCCCGCGACACATCAGAAAACCCACAATCCCTCCTGGCCAATCACCTGAGCCAGATCGGCTTCAGTGGAGGAGTAGAACAGGTATGACCGCACCGTCAAACTTAATGCAGTCTGTAAAGCTTGTAATAATGATCCCTATTTTGTTGTTTCTTGTCAGTTGCACATGCTCACATAGAACAATCTCAGTTGTCAGTAATGTTGCAGGATAGTGTGACTTTGTACAATTGTTAAGAAAACAGATTTTGATTTTGAGATCATTAGTTTGTTTGGGGGCAGCAAGCTGCATTCACACACGTGATGGAGTATGTCTTGTTCCAGAAAGAGTATGTCTCGTTTCTTGTGAGTCACGTTCCAGAAAGATATTCCTTTGTTGTATTAGAAATCAATTTTTAACAATAACTGACAAATACACTCACTGGCCACTTTATTAGGTACACCTGTTCAACGGCTTGTTGATGCAAATTTCTAATCAGTCTATCACATGGCAGCAACTCAATGCGTGTAGCCATCTGCTACAGTTTCGAGCATCAGAAAGGGGAAGAAATGTGATTTAAGTGACTTTGAACATGGCATGGTTGTTGGTGCCAGACGGGCTGGTTTGAGTATTTCAGAAACTGCTGATCTACTGGAATTTCCACGCACAACCATCTCAAGTTCTATGGGCGCATATGCCTTGTTGATGCCAGAGATCAGAGGAGAATGGTCAGACTGGTTCCAGCTAATAGAATGGCAACAGCTTGCTACAATCGAGGTGTGCAGAAGAGCATCTTTGAACGCACAACACGTCCAACCTTAAGGCAGATGGGCTACAGCAGCAGAAGACCACACTGGGTGCCACTCCTGTCAGCTAAGAACAGGAAACTGAGGCTACAATTCGCACACGTTCACCAAAATTAGACAATAGAATATTAAAAAAACATTACCTGGTCTGATGAGTTTTAATTTCTCCTGCGACATTTGAATGGTAGAGCTACATTTTATCATCAACAACATTAAAGCATTGATTCGTCCTGCCTTGTATTAACGGTTCAGGCTGGTTGTGGTGGTGTAATGGTGTGGGGGATATTTTCTTGGCAAACTTTGGGCCCGTTAGTACCAATTGAGCATTGCGTCAATGCCAAAGCCTACCTTTATGACCTGCTGCCTTTATTTATTAAGCTTTAAAGCTGCATTCCCCAACTAAACAAGGCATCTGTATATGGATGACTGAAGAAATCCGGTCCTTCAGTATTTCTCTGAAAGTGGAAGGAACATTTTGAAAGGGTATCTAGCCACATGTCTACCAAGCATTTTTAAGCTGCTGAAAATATCAGTGTTTTCCTGAAAATGTACAACTGAGAGCAGTCCTGTAGCACACCGTTTAATGAGACACTATGGGGGATATAAAATATCCACAGTGCTGATTTCTGTTTAGTATTTGTACTGCCCTTTCTCCACTGGGATTGGACCGCTAGCTCATGACTTTTGTTATGCCGATTGGGCTATGTCTGGTTACAAGTGGATTTCTTGGGTTCAAGTAAGCCAGGGATGTCCAAACTCAGTGTTGGAGGGCCTGTGTCCTGCATAGTTTAGCTCTAACATCCTTCAACACACTTCCCTGGAAGTTTCTAGTATACCTAGAAAGAGCTTGATTAGCTGGTTCAGGTGTGTTTAGTTGGGGTAAGAACTAAAATATGCAGGACACCTGCCCTCCAAGACAAAGTTTGGACACCCTTGATGTAAACAAAGCTATTGTTTGTCCTCAGACCACATCATTTGTGGCACTAATTAATTATGCATCACTTGCATTATGTGTCCACAAAGGAAGTAAATCTTTTTGTGAACCAATACTGATTTAGCAAATCATTCCTCTCCTTTTTACATGATCTAAACCCCCAGGTGTCAAATCTTGTCAGCTCTGCACAGTTTAGCTTTATCTCTAATTAACACATCTGATCTTTATCACATCTGATTAAACTAATTGAGTCCTTCAGGCTTGTTTGAAACCTACAGGTAAGTGTGTTGAAGCAGGGTTGGAACTAAACTGTACTGAGCTGCGGCCCACACGGAACTGGATTTGACACCTGTGATCTAAACCATGCTTAACTTTTGCAAAGTGAGAGAAGTGTTTTAGAAAAAATGACTTGTCTTGGGTCTTTATCCAGATTGTTTTGGGCTTGTACTCAGCCCTCACCGATTGTTGTAAATCCGTAGATGTGGTGAAAGCCTGCATAGCTGTAAGGGATTAAGAAAGGTGGGTGGGTGAGTGTATCTTTTAGTTGACTTAAATCACCTTTGAACACAGAAGAAATACCCTATATGTACATTTATTTTTTGCTGGGCATTTACCTGGTAACAAAAACAGCCATCTATTTGTATGCTAAATCATTGAAATAGAGCCTACTTGTACCTTTTTGGTTTACTAGTCTTAAAGCGTGTTCATGTAAACAGGAAAGCAAGTCATCACTGCAGTTTAGAGTATGAGCGAGTGTGGTTTGCGGTGTGTATTGTTCCTATCTGTGTTGGATGAGTGGCCTTGGTGAGCTTTGCTCCAGATTCCCCCCACCCTTTTTGCCCGCTCTGAATCTAGTATGGTCTTCATTGTCTTTTGTGTCACTTGATTCTGAACCCTGGATAGTCCTTTTTCTTCACAAAAGCGACAAGTATCTGGATCAATCAGAGATGATCTTTGTCCTCTACTGCACCCTCATCTAACAGCCTCTGTTGCTAACTTCTTGTAAACTTTTATAAAGGGTCACAGCATCCTTATGTAGCTTCTTCTCATTTTTGTGCCAGACTTTTGCCCCAACTTGAGCATCAGCACTCAGTCTCTTGCATAGTGGGGCTGAATTCTTGGCTAAACAGTGCAAGATCTGTAGCTATTTTTTCTTTTGAGCTTTTGGGATGAGACAAGTGTCTTACAGCCTTTTTTAAATGTTTTTCTTGACCATAGGCAAAAAAAAGGACAATTCTTTGGGTAAGCGCCACTTGAACAATTGGGAAAAAAGAAAACCATCTCTGTCTTTCTCGAGTTCCTCTTTATTTGAGCTACCCAACCTTATTTTCCTTCTTTCAAAGAGGCAGATCTGGTTGATAAGATGTGCTTCAGTTTTTTATAGGTCATATGAAGGATTTTGTTGTGGAAGCTGCTGTGGTGGCGCATGTTTTGCTTCAGCTGTTTGTGAACTCTGGCTTGGCTTGTGTTGAGCAGTGGTGGTGATGCAGATGTGATGTTTTGATGGCATCAGCGACGACAGGCCCGTAGCCAGGGGGGATTCGGTTGGTTCGGAAGACTCACCCCTCACTGACAAAGGTCCAGAATTTGTCCCATACGTGAGCTCATTTTTCCTATTTTGACTGCTACCTATTGAAAAAGGCTTAAGACCAAGCGGAATCCTGGTGTGACTTCAGCTAATCGGTTTTGACCAATGCAAACAAATATTTTTTTCAAGAGTCCAACATTCAGCTGTGCAAGAAAATATCTTACACATGCAAAGACATCTTTCCCTACTATATTATTTTTAAATGGAGAAAAGATTTGACCAGTAACTTTTATTCTAAATCTGGGACATTATTCTTGAAAATTACCAATAAAAAAGTGTGAAGCATCAAAAGCGACCCATATTAAAATAAATTTGAATACTATTTTGACTATTGTACTTATCCGTGAATTTTCAAATGTACTTTTTTTTTACAAGAGATGCTAGAAAAATTGTAAAGCTGTACATTATTATTATTATTATTATGGTTTATATATCAAATGGCCAAATTCTGACTGAGGAAAGTGAATTGTGCTTGTTATTTGCCTATAAATTACAATAGGCTACAGTTTTTAATTTAAAACCTTTTTTTCTTGTGATATTTGATGTAATAAATTTGTATTTTAAAAATATTTGTCACATTTCATTATTCTAAATATTTAGTAAATAATTTTGGTTATAAAGACCATACGACAGGCTAATTCAGCTAAAACAGTGCTTAAAATGCCACTTATATTCAGTATTTATATCTCATAATTAAATAATTCAAAAAAATAATTAAATTCAATTCAGCTTTATTTGTATAGCGCTTTTACTATGTAGATTGTGTCAAAGCAGCTTCACATAAATGGTTGTAGTAACTGGATCAGTGTAGTTCAGTTTTTAGTGTTTAAGTTCAGTTCAGTTTAACTCAGTTCAATGTGGTTTGAAATCATTACTGAGAGTCTAAACACTGAAGAGCAAATTCATTGATGTGTGAAATAGGCAAATAACTGCAAAATAGTCCACTTTTTGAGAAAAAAGAACCACCCCTTTCACCAGGCTGGCTACAGCCTCTTGGTTTAGACTCCTGGCCAAAAAAATACCAGCAAAGTTAACCTTGGCCACTGCAGTTTTCTATAGGACTAAAAGAAAATTCCGAGCAGCATAATCTGTTTTAAAAACCACATTTAATATGTTTTACTTCAAACTTACCTCATAACTTCAGTCAAATGTCTAAAATAAATCATTCTGTGATATGATTATATAGTTGTGTGATTACTGTCAAAGTCCCTTTAAGGCAAGTCTTTTCATTCGACAGCCATCTTTGAATTGCCTTTCGGACAGTATACTCAGGCATAAACTAGTTAACAACACTGCGCTTGCTGCCTTCGGGTGGTCTGTTTCACACAGAATGAGCACATGTGGCCTCAAACCATATCGATATGAATAATATTAGATAATACCTCATCACGTTGGGGAATCATATCGATATATCCCCAGAACTTGATATACCGCCCAGCCCAAAGTGTTGGTTAGACCTTTCTTTTGGAGGCAAACAAGCCATTTTTGGGACCGTATACTGCTTACGGCATTCAAAGATGCAAAAAGACACAGCTCTGCACAGTTTATCTTTAACCCTGATTAAACTAATTGAGTTTTTCAGGCTTGTTTGAAACTTACAGATGAGTCTGTTGAAGCAGGGTTGGAACTAAACTCAGCAGGGCTACGGCCTTCCAGGAACTAAGTTTGATCCGCATCTGGATTCAGCCCACTTGATGATCATAAACAGAAAGGCAGATACAGAGTACCAGGATGCAAAGATTCATCTAAAGAAGGGTGCCCAAACTCTGTCATGGAGGGCCGGTGTCCTGCAGAGTTTAGTTGCCAACCTGCCAGTACATATGCTGGTTAATGCTTGAGTAGCTGTCCAATTGGGGTTAGAGCTGTACTCTGCAGGACACCATGTATTTACATCTCGTTTGTTCCTCATTTGACATATAATAATATATTGTTGTTTTATTCCCCTGAAAGACAACAAACCAAAATCTAGTGGGGGGCTAGGGGGGAGCACATTTTATGATTGATTTATTATAAGGGACCTCCAAGCATCCAAAAAATAGGGTGAAATATTTTTTCCCCCTAAAACTAAAATTCATGCCATAGAGCAGGGGTGGGCAAACTCGGTCCTGGAGGGCCGGTGTCCTGCACAGTTTAGCTCTAACTCTAATCAAACACACCTGCTTATAGATTTCTAGTGATCTTGAAGACACTGATTGGCATGTTCAGGTGTGTTTGATTAGAGATGGAGCTAAATTATGCAGGACACCTGCCATAGAGGGTTAAATTAGAAAACTGGTTGAAATGAATGTATTTTTACTTTGTGTGTTGTAGGTAGAGATGTTTCTGCTGGGCTATGCCTTAAACTACACCATTCAAGCCTTCCGTCTGTACATGACCGACACAGAAGAGTTTGTGACGCATTACCCAGATGACCACAAGCACGAGTGGCCATGTGTGTGTATCGTCACGGAGGACGATCGCCATTACAATGTTCCCGTCAGGAGGACTGTTCAACACCAGCACAGAGATGATTCCACAATGACCTAACGGCAGACACTTCAGAGAGCAAAGCTGATCTACAAAGTGGCATGACGTTTTGTTTTCTGATTTGATCCGTTGCTCATGCAGTGAATGAACACGAAGGGAATTTACAGCAATCTACCAAGATCAAATTGCATGCATAAGTGCTCAGGTTTTTTCCCCCCCAAATGAATCACAGAATGAACATCTGTCTGCCAGGAAACGCTGTGATGATTAACACTGGTTAAGAAAAAAAAAAAACCTTACTGCCTTTCTACTGTAGCTATGATCTTTTTTCCCCCACTGTTGGAAATTTCTTTAAAAAAAAAAATACTAAAGAGTTTACAACAATAATTTTAGAGAATTTTAATTCAAAAGAATGTATTGTGGGTTTAGTAAGGGAAATGAGATAATGGTATAATTACTGTAAGTCAATTAGTTAAATTTTCTATTATTTCAATATATAAAATTTCTACATAAAAGTCACTGGCATGGATTCTGCAACAGACTCATTCTGAAAGCGTAGCCCTATATAAGAAGCTCGCCAATTATGTAGCCAGATGTACGTATGGCTGTATTTCATCTTATAAACGAACGCAATGCGGCGGTATGACGCTGTTCCTTTTTGCGACTACCAGCTGACTGCTTATTTCTGTATGGACTGCTTTCCCGTGGTGGAATTGAGACGCAGAGAAGAGTTGACTACGACGACGGGGTTCGAGTCTGGTAATGAACGATTCTAGAAACTGGGTAAGACAAAAACAGAAGCCAAAAAATTAAATAAACAAGTAAATAACAGGGTGAGAATGTGGTGAAATCTAAAAACCTGGTAAAAAATTAAGCAAGGACCTTTCTTTTTCTAGATTGCTTTTTAAAATTGTCAGTTGGGTTTTGGAAATGGGGTGGGCGGGTCAATCGGTGCTTTTAAAAATACTATTGGTTCGGTTTAGGGAAGGAGAAGTGTGGGTCAGTGGATCCATCAGTTAGTCAGTCAGTCAAACAGTCAGTCGACAGCGGCCTCTGGTGGATTTACGCTAGAATAGCATGCGCAAATGGCACTTGCGAAATAAATGTGAGATCCTAAAAAAAAAAGTGTATCTCTGGTAGATTTACATGAGAACAGCAGGTGCGAATAGCACTTGCGAGAGAAATTTGAGATCTGAAAAAAAATACACAGCATCCTCTAGTGAATTTACTCTAGAACACCAGGTGCGAATGGCACTTGGGAGAGAAATTGAGATTGGAAAAAGCATACACAGCATCTTCTTGTGGATTTTTGTGAGAACAGCCGGTGCGAATGGCATTCGCAAGAGAAATTAAAGATCTGAAAAAGCGTACACAGCGTCCTCTGGTGGATTTACGTGAGAACGACAGGTGCGAATGGCACTTGCGAGAGAAGAAGTTTAGGATCTGAAAAAGCGAACACGGCATACTCTGGTGGATTTACGTGAGAAGAGCAGGCATGAATGGCACTCGTGAGAGAAATTTAAGATCTGAAAAAGCATACACAGCGTACTCTGGTGGATTTACATGAGAAGAGCAGGCACAAATGGTACTTGCTGAGAGCTCAAAAAGCGTACACAGCGGCCTATGGTGGATTTACGCAAGAGCAGGCACAAAAGGTACATGAGAGAGAAATTTCAGAGCTCAAAAAGTGTAAACAGCGGCCTCTGGTGAATTCGCGAAAATAAATGTCCAAAAAAAAAAAAAAAACAGCTCCTGAAATGTATTTTGCGCACTCCAGAAATGTATATAGCGGTACGTTTTTAGAATGAGTCTGGCTTGAGATTGTGGCGTTTACAAAACAGAGACTGTCAAATATCCTTAATCATATTTTTTTTTACTTTTTAATCATAAACGGACACACTGCGACAAATGTCTAATACTGGTTTTGATTGACACTGCCATGTAGGGGTGTGTGATATGTATTGTCTAAGATCATAATTTTTGTTTTAATGTGCAGAAACATCAATCATTTTCCAAAAGCATTCACTCAATGCTGATGCCAATTAAGAGTGCCACCATTAGTTATAGACATCTAAGTCCCATACAGGAATATTTTTGCTTTCATTTTTAAAACATACCATCTAAAGCACAGATGTCAAACACAGTTCCTGGAGAGCAGCTCTGCACAGTTTAGATCCAACACTAATTAAACACACCTGATCAAACTAATCGAGTCCTTCAGGCTTGTTTGAAACCTACAGGTGTGTTGAAGCAGGGTTTGAACTAAACTCCAGGAACTGAGTTTGACACCCCTGATCTAAAGAAGTATCGCAAGCAAGAATCCCATTTGCCAAATATCAGAATGCAAGTCTAACTGTGATATATTGAGTTCATACAACAGTTCAGTGAAATGTTAATACTGAGATTTTTGTGAGTGAAAACAACAGTGTTTTGTTCATGAATTAAATCAGATTATTCATTATTAGTCAGTAGCTATGTTTCCACCCAAAGATGCAAATTAAATTTATGCATAAAACTGCAATGTCTCATAAAAGACGCGCGAATAAAGCAGTTTCCATCCAATGAGTTAAAGAGAACAAATTCATCACTTTTTTGCGCATTTCCAAAATGTTTGCTCATCCTGCCGTTATATGCACAAATCCAAAATGTGCATTAAAATAGGTGGATGGAATTCTAGATACTGATAATAACATCCATTAATAATATTCTATACAATCCATTTTGAACAAATCACTTGAAGTAATAATTCTTTGAATATTACACAATAAAACAGACTCTCTGTCCCTACTGCCAGTCATTATTTCTTATTTATTTATTACAGGCCTAAACCAGCACACATTTAGCAGAGCCTTTAAGGGGATTAAAGTACCATATAGATTTACAGAGTATATAATATACATGTCGCAGTAAACAACATGAAGTGGATTAAAAATATGTTTACTTCTACAACATGACTGTGTTGTTGAAAAACAACTTTGATGAAAGGTTTACACACACGCACATACATGAATAATGTTTATCATTATTGCACACCCCTACATTTGTTACTATTGTTCTGTTGAGTTCACATCAAACGCAGAAGACCGCTTCACTTGCTTTATTTTGTTTTTCACCTCACAAATTTACCACTGGAGTTCAATTATTTGAATTTGCGTTGTCGTCAACATTGAGGCGAATTCCATGCGTTTGTCATGGTGGCTGAGAGAGCTTAACATGCTGCAATTTAAGAAAATGCATGCAGTTACAAAAAAACGTCATCAAATTGAGGAAAGATCACAGCATACTTGCTGCATTTCCTCACAATGCAAACATTTTACGTAAATGCACAGCATTTTCTTTTAATGCAAACATTTTACGAAAACGCTACATTTTCTCAACGCAGACATTTTGTGTTGTGAGAATGCAGTGCATTTGCGTAAACATTTTACGAAAACACGCACTCACAACGCAAACATTTTGCATAAATGCACTGCATTCTCACAACGCAAACAATTTACGAAAACGCGCTGCATTCTCACAACGCAAACAATTTACAAAAACGTGCTGCATTTTCTCACAACCCAAAGAATTTATGAAAACACACCGCATTCCCACAACACAAACAATTTACAAAAACACGCTGCATTTTCACACAATGCAAACATTTTACAAAAAAAAAACGCACTGCATTTTCTCACAACGCAAACGTTTTATGTAAAAGCACTACATTTTCACAACACAAACAATTTACGAAAACAATATTCTCACAACACAAACATTTTATGAAAGCGCACTGCATTTTTTCACAAGGCAAACAATTTATGAAAACGCGCTACTTTCTCACAACGCAAACATTTTAAGAAAACGCGCTGCATTCTCACAACGCAATCACATTACAAAAACGTGCTGCATTCTCACAACGCAAACATTTTACGAAGACGCTGCATTTTCTCACAACACAAACGTTTTAGGAAAACGTGTTATTCTCAGAACGCAAACATTTCAAAAAAACGTGCTGCATTTTCTCACAACACAAACATTTTGCAAAAACATGCTGTATTTTATCATAACACAACGGAAATGTTTCAAGGAGACAATAAAACGTTACAGAATATTGAAATAAATTAACAAAAAAACTCGCTCTTCAAAGATCACCTACAACTTCACTGACAAGTAGTTACGCCACAGCGGTGTCCGTTACATTTTTGGGTCCCCTTGACACTTTTCCATTGTGATCTGTTCTTCGTGTGTTGTTAAACAATTAACAAAAACGCGCTGCATTGTCTGTGACGTGAGAAAATGCTCTGCGTTTTCTAAAAATGTGTTTGAGTTGTTACGATTTGCAGCATGTGTGCAGTCAAACCGATGAAGATCTTTTCTCAATTTGCTAGCGTTTTTTTGTAATTGCACGTGTTTTCATAAATTAAAGCACATTAATCGCTCTCAGCCAACCGTGGTACATGGTAAATACGTTTGCATTGGCTTTGTGTAACTTGCACAGACACAAATTCTGCATTTGGAGTGAACCAAGTATTAATCTTAAATTTGAGCAGTTAAAGTCTGACTTATGCTGAAACCATGTTATGTTTACGTGTTAACCGACACCGAAAGCTACAATAATGTGCATCAATCTCATTAACAGGCAGCTGGTGGTACACATGGATGCCAAGAAGACTTCAAGACTTCTTAATAGTTTGCTCATTGTGGAGTTAAGCAACTACTTGCACTTTTTGTTGTTGTTTTTTGTTTGTTTTCTGCTCATCAGATTTTTGTATTTATGAATGACAGATTAACTCAAAGTATCTTTCATGCCAAACATACAAGAAAAAAGATAACTATTGGTTATGTAAAATGATTTTTCAAGAACTGGAAGACATCATTTGAGAAAATATGAATAAAATATTATGATTTACTTGAGTCTCTAACTTTAATAAACACGATACGTAAGAAATGAAACAGAGAACAGCTTAAGCCCAACATTTGTTTAATAAACGCATTAATCCATTCATAATGTGCTTAGTTTACTTGCATCTGCATATACAAGCACCACTTTCCTCAAGTAAAACATACAGTAGTTTTGATAGTTCTATTTAGTAAGTTGACAAAATATGTTGAAAAATCAAGTAAATAGCTGAAATATGGAATATAACAGGTTCTATATTTGAAATACTGGATCAGATGATTATCAGAAACGATTCATGCTTTCACAAAAGCTCAAATAAATAGTCCATGGTGTGTGTACAGTATATATAGTGTTAGAGTGATTGTCAAACCTAACGAACTCCATAACGCTCTTTGCAAAGGTACCAAATCAGAGCAATGTGCAGTAAATACAAAAATAAATCAATTGAAATATACAACTTGAAGTGATAGTTCACCCAAAAATGAAAATAAATATTTTAAAAGAAAGCTCTAACTCGCTGACTTCCATTGCAGGGAAAAAATACTATGGAAGTCAACGGTTACAGGTTTTCAGCATTCTTCAAAATATCTCCTCTTGTGTCCAACAGAAAAAAAGTTTGGAACCCCTTGAGGATGAGTTTTTTCCATTTTGTTTGATGAACAATGCCTTTAAATCTAGTCTGTGCCCCAAGTGAGTAAAAGAAATCCCTCTTAAGCAAGTTCTAATTCACTTAAGGTGTAAATATTTATTGTGCGTCTCAAGGCAAGAGGAAAACACATCTCTCGGCCAAAGTTTAGCAAGTAACATTTCTGTCCTTAAAACAGATTACAAGTCCATTTTGATGCATTCTTTCTCCCAAAACAAAAGAGATTATATTCAGATGCGAGTGCTTTGCACGGAACTTTGGAAGACGTCCGTGTGTGTAAATATGCAAAAAGTGCAGGAGTGCGTACTGTATGTTGCAGACATGCAAATCTGCTCCTGCTTCCTCATACAAGCAGCAGTCTATCTGACAGTTCCAGAGATTGTAGAAACAAAGATATTAATAGAACAAAATAAAGTACTTGTTATCAAAAATCCATGTATTGCTGCAAATGTCCACCTCTTCTTCAGCATATCCAAATGAAATCACTGATCTGCTCTTTCCGCTTCCTGATCACCATCATCAGAAATGACATCCAGCTCTGCTCTGGAAGCGACATCAGTGATCGGCGCCGAATTGTCCTCCACAACCACTTCTGCTTCAGGGGTTTTCTTCTGAAAACAGAAGTTTAGAAATATGGGTATTGCAGAATGGATACTGAATGCGTATTATTTTTAAAGTCTAGGAGTAATTTGATGGCCATACTCCTGATCTGCAAAGTTGCATTCACATTTACAGTGCATCCGGAAAGCATTCACAGCGCTTCACTTTTTTTTTTTTTTTTTTTTATGTTACAGCCTTATTCCAAAATGGATTATATTTATTTATTCCTCAAAATTCTGCACACAATAGCCCATAATGACAATGTGAAATGAAGAGTTTTTGAAATTGTTGCAAATTTATTAAAAATAAAAAAGCTGAAAAATCACATGTACGCAAGTATTCACAGCCTTTGCTCAATACTTTCTTGATGCACCTTTGGCAGAAGTTACAGCCTCAAGTCTTTTTGAATTTGATGCCACAAGCTTGACACACCTGTCTTTGGGAATTTTTGCCCATTCCTCTTTGCAGTACCTCTCAAGCTCTATCAGGTTGGAGGGGAAGCGACAGTGGACAGCCTTTTTCAGATCTCTTTAGAGATGTTGAATAGGATTTAGGTCTGGGCTGTGGCTGGGCCACTCAAGGACATTCACAGAGTTGTTGTGAAATCACTCCACTGATATTTTGGCAGTGTGCTTTGTGTCATTGTCCTGCTGGAAGATCAACCGTCACCCCAGTCTGATGTCAAGAGCACTCTGAAGCAGGTTTTCATTTAGGATGTCTCTGTACATTGCTGCATTCATCAAGTTTCTTTGACTTGGTTTTCTCTAAACGTAACGCCTGGCATTCACTACAAAGAGTTCAATTTTAGTCTCATCAGACCAGAGTATTTGGTTTCTTATGGTCTGAGAGTGCTTCAGATGCCTTTTGGCAAATTACAGGCAGGGAGTGGCTTCCGTCTGGACGCTCTACCATACAGGCCTGATAGATGGATTGCTGCGCAGATGTTTGTCCTTCTGTAAGGTTCTCTCTCTAAGAAGAACGCTGGAGCTCAGACAGAGTGACCATCGGGTTATTAATCACCTCCCTGACTAAGGCCCTTCTCCCTGATCACTCAGTTTAGATTGCCGGCCAGCTCTAGTAAGAGTCCTGCTGGTTCCAAACATCTTTCACTTACGGATGATTGAGGCCACTGTGCTCATTGGAGCTTTCAGAGCAGGAGAAATATTTGTGCAACCTTCCCCAGCCTTGAACCTCGAGACAATCCTGTCTCTGAGGTCTACAGACAATTCCTTTGTCTTCATGCTTGGTTTGTGCTTTGACATGCACTGTCAACCCTGGGACCTTACGTAGACAGTTGTATGCCTTTTCAAATCATGTCAAATCAACTGAATTTACCACAGGAGAACTCTAATGAGGCTGCTGAAACATCAAGAATGATTAGTGGAAAAAGAATGTACCTGAGCTCAATTTAGAGCTTCACAGCAAAGACTGTGGATACTCATGTACCTGTGATTTTTCAGGTATTTTTTTTTTTTTATTGGCTACAAAAAAAATAATAATTCAACTTGTCATTATGGGGTATTGTGTTTAGAATTTTAAGGAAATAAATCATTGGAATCCATTTTGGAATAAGACTGTGACATAAAAAAATGTGGAAAAAGGGTAGCACTGTGAACACTTTCCAGATGCACTATATTTTAAAGCAGGGTTGTCCAAACTTGGTCCTGGAGGGCCGGTGTACTGCAGATTTTAGCTCCAACTTGCCTGAACACATCTGTAAGGATGTTTCTAGAAAGCCCAGTAAGAGCTTAATTGGCTAGCCCAGGTTTGTCTAATTGGGTTTGAAACTAAACTTTGCAGGATACCGGCCCTCCAGGACAGAGTCACCCTTGCTTTAAAGGATCAGGAAAGCCTTAACTAAATTTTTAATTATACAGATGTGTGGGTGTTGAAAAGTCAATGGGCTCTATGCACAACTAGTGTTTGTAAGCCAACGATAAACTTGTGGTGAACGGTTATTGTCACGATTTTAAATTTCAAAAGGTTTCTTTAACAGCAACAATGTTGTAATGTATTTAAAATACAATCAATTACATGGGCCCTATCATACACCCGGCGCAGTGTGGCGCATGGCGCGGCGCAATAGTCTTTTGGTAGTTTTAGCTTGGCGCAAGAGTCGTTTTGAGGCGTTGTGCTACGCTGTTTAAATAGCAAATGCATTAGCGCTCATTTTTGCGCCCATAGGCGTTCTGGTCTAAAAAGGAAGGCGTTCTGAGGTGGACCGCTGGCGCGTTGCTATTTTGAGAAACTATAATAGATTTTTCATTAGACCAAAACTAACCCGGTCTACACTCCGGCGCAGAGGTGCGCCTCGCTTACGCACTGCTTAATACACACAAGAGAGCAATAGGCAAATATCTTTACATATGAAAAAATTTAAAAATTAAGGATATATATATAGGATATAATAAGAATAGATATAAAATATAAATATAAAGGATTAAAATATTACAAAACATATTATTTTCTAGCCTACATAAATATAAAAAAAATCACTGCTTTTATGTCTTCTTCATCTCGGGAGGCTTTTTCAGTTCATTCATAACAATTTGCTTTTGTATAATGTTATTATTATTAGCAGTATTATTTATTTTATCCATATTTATGTTTATTTTATTAAAAACAAGCTTAGATTTGCCCACCTGTCAGGTTTTAGACCATATGGGGCACAGCATGCGTTTTAGGATATAACTCAGGTTTTTGAGCACATTTTGTTATTATTATTCATTTATTCGTTTGCTGGAAATTAGAACTGAATTTAGAAATCGTTTTGAAACAAATCTTTGTGCTTAACAAACACATTTATTTATTTATAGACTAACTGATGTCTGTGCATAAAGGTTTCCCTATCCAAGAGCGAATGTGAAAGTAGTTCCATCATCTCTCATTCTCACGCAGTAGATGCTCTGTTTAACAGTTTTCTTTTAAAAAACTGTCAACTGTTTGCTTGTGAAATGCTAATTTTTTCCAATTAGACTTTTTGCGTCCTGTAAATAGCGAATGCGCTCTTGGCGCGACGCAGCGGACTCTTAAAGGGAATGGGAGATGAGACTCTAATTGGTTTATTCTAAAAACACACCTATAACTCATCAAGAAAATAAACTCAACCCTTTTAGACCATGCGCCGCGGCGCAAGGCAGATTTCCCGTCCTTAAATTAGCAAAAACGCGTTCTGACATGCCCTGAAAGTGTTTGTGCCCTGCGTTTTGCGCTCTGCGCATGGACCGTCAAAATAGAGCCCTTGGACTTAAGCATTCATTTAGTTGTTCAAGCGTCAAACGAGATAAAGGTCCATGTAAATGCTACTGCAGTCAGTAGCAGCAGGCTAGCGCAGATATGGCAGGGAAACAGGGATTAAAATTGTTACATTGTGGCTCTTTGTTCTTGGTGTGGTTCGCTTTCACACAGCAACCGTTCTAAATGTACCAAAATAGCTAAAACAAGTCACGTGTGAGTAAACTCAAAACGGTCAGCTGACATGCATCCTTATTTAAGTTAAGATGATGAATAATAAGACAATATAAGCAATGTGAAGACCGGGGGGTTTGGTGGCGTTTGACAGGGTGCGTGCAACATGTCTAAAGAGCGAGGAGGGATGCGGTGGGGAGGAGTGAGATAGGTGCGCCATGCATTTGAGGACTGGGAGGAAGACGCACGATTTCCGGGAGATTATCACTCATTGGCAGGCATCTGGGAGTCTCTGTGCATTTGCGGGAGACTCACGGAACTTCCAGGACACTTGGAATGTCTGAAATGACCTCCCACCCTACTCGTTATTCTCTCTTCATATAGCCTTATGCTTATTACATATCCATAAAACACTGTGATATAGACGGGCTCGGATCGTATCACTACAATCGATCTACTCCAGAGTTTGCTTCAATCGAGCCGAGACCACCTCATTCAGGCAATCTCAGGCCAGACTGTTTTGGTGCCGATTCGAGCATGAATGCGGACCGCGCTAACTAGGGAAACAAGAACAAAAGTCTAGGTGTGAAAGCAGCCTGAGACCCACTTAATATTGTATATCTATCAGGCAGTGAGGATCACTGTTTTTTAAAGAAAGTAGATCTTAAACACGGCAGTTTTGTAATGGCAAGACAGTTTACCAGCAGCGCTTGGACTGGCTGACTAAAAATTTAAAGTCAGCGCATACTGTATACCCCATAAAGGTAGCATTAGCATCTGCTTGCTTTAATTTCATTAGAATAACTGGTTTAAAATCTAAAAGTGGTGGTGCCATAGTTTTGACCACCAGCTATCCTTAGCATGTGATGTTTCAAATGCTTCGTAGCAACAAATGATTTTGTGAAGCAATTGGTTTAATTGTGTTAAAGCTTTGCTTTTCCCATGACTGGTCTGATGACTCCTCACCTGTTGTCGATAAACATAGCAGGCAGCAATTGCGACCATGGTGGACTCTCCCACAAATCCTGCTAATAAAGACCCAACGCCAAGTGTAGCACCATGAATCCTGCAAAAAAAAAAAAAAAAAAAATAGATCAGCTGAAAAAAATGAGATTTTTATGACCCTATGATTGTTCTAAGAGTCATTTCATTAGCATTACTTAATAATAAAATGTAATAACATTGAAAAATTATATAAAAGTTAATTTGATAAGTATCATTGTCTTAATTAAATACATTTTCGATCACTAATATAGGGATGCCCAAACTCGGTCCCCTTTAGCTCCAACTTCCTTCAACACACCTGCCTGGAAGTTTTTGAATACCTAGAAACAGCTTGATTAGCTGGTTCAGGTGTGTTTAACTTAGGTTGAAACTAAAATATGCAGGACACTGTCCCTCCAGGACTAAGTTTGTGCACCCCTGCACTATTAGTTTAACCATTAAAGGGATAGTTCAGCCAAAAATGAAAATTTGCTCAATTACTGACCATTCACTTGTTCCAAACATGTATCGGTTGCTTTATTCTGATGAGCAGTAAAGATGATAACCTGAAAATCTGTAACATCTGACCTCCATTGTTGTTTTTCCTATTATTGAAGTCAATGGTTACAGGTTTTCAGCTTTCTTCAAAATATATAATTTAATGCTCATCAGAATTAAAAAAAAACTCAAAAAAGTTTGAAACCACAAGAGTAAATTTATAAGCATTGAATTGAATTTAATTGAATTTTAAAAGAAAATACTTGTAAGGCCCTGCGTTTTAATGTTGTGAACTGTTGCACATCATTTTAAAAATAAAGCTTATTTTTTACTGTTGCTGCAGCCGTCTGCTTTAGCTGTGGAGCTGAGCCATAATCAATTCACTAAATGCAGTGAATTATTTTTAGATTCACTAAACATCCAGAGGCATGAGAATGAATTGCTTCACAAATCATACCGAGCTGAGGAGCACATTCAGATGATATTTAAATGATACATTTAAGCATATTTGCAAGGTTCAACTATATACCAACCCCATATAAGGTAGCACGAGAAGACTGGTGATGAGCACAATGATGCGCAGAACTGAACTTGGTGCCAGCACAAACGTTTTCTTTAGCGTCATAAACCAGCCTGTCAGATGAGCTCGAATCGTAACTGTACACAAAGAAACAAGGTCGCATTGACTTAATGCAGAACAAATTAGAAATTAAAGTTACATGTCAAAAGCTCATTTTACAATTCACCCTGAGTTAAGCAGTTGAGTTTTACCATTTTTAAATCGATTTAGCCATTCTCGGAGTCTGGCTGGAGCTCTTTTAGCTTAGCATAAATTATTGAATTGGATTAGACCAATGAAGCAAGTGCAATGATATAACATAGCGCTCTTACCAAGATGGGAACTATTTTCAAGAGCTGCATAATATCATTGCTTCCATGGTCCCATAGCAAAGATAACAGATTATTACACAAGATTGAGAGTATAGTTACTAGCCATATTGGTCTACAAAATAATTAATTTTGTCTGTCTTAGCACACGATGTAACTACAGAAGGATAAAGCTTTAAATAGAAAAGTCATCATCAAAACATTTTTAGAAATCTAAAAAAAAATGCTAATGGTCTAATCCGATTGAATTATTTATGCTAAGCTAGGCTAAAAGTGCTCTGGCCAGACAAGGAGACTTGCTGAATGGATTGAAAAATTGCATAACTCTGGGTGACTTAAAATGAGCCCATTTAAAAAAAAAACAACAAAAAAAAAAAAAAAACAAAGTATTGCTTTAACCTTACCTGGCACAGGAAAAAAAGAAAAGACTCTCAGTGGCATGATGCAGAGCTCTGCGAAGTCCATATCAACTCCAATGACATCTATCAGGATACGCTCAGAAACATGAGGGCTCCAGAAAACAATGAAACACATCTGGCAAACAGAAACACAAATATTAACAGAAGTCAAATGACTTGTTTACTCGGTTTGTCTTTGTGTTATGATGTTTTAAAACCATCTATTAGGAGATTAAACAAGAACTGGCCACTTTATTAGGTGCAACTGCTTGTTACTGCAAATTTCTAATCAATCAATCTAATCAGCAACTTAAAGCATTTAAGCATGTGGACATGGTCAAGATGATCTGCTGCAGTTTAAACAGAGCATCAGAATGGGGAAGAAAGGTGATTTAAGTGACTTTAAACATGTGAAACCTTGAGGCGGATGGGCTACAGCAGCAAAAGACCACACCGGGTGCCACTTTTTAGCTAAGAACAGAAAACTTGACAATTCACACAGGCTCACCAAAATTGGACAATAGAAGATTGGAAAAACGTATTCCTGGTCTGATGAGTCTCAATTTCTTCTACAACGTTCGGATGGTAGGGTCAGAATTTGGTGTCTATAACATGAAAGCATGGATCCATCCTGCCTTGTATCAACCGTTCAGACTGATGGTGGTGGTGTGTGAGGGGGATATTTTCTTTGCAAACTTTGGGCACATTAGTACCAACTGAGCATCGTTTCAAGACCGCAGCCTACCCGAGTATCGTCGCTGACAATGTTCATCCCTTTATGACCACAGTGCACCCTTCTTCTGATGGCTACTTCCAGCAGAATAACGTGCAATTTCAAGGCGTGAATCATCTCAGACTGGTTTCTTGAACATGACAACGAGTTTACTGTACTCAAATGGCCTCCACAGTCACTAGATCTCAATCCAATAGAGCACCTTTGGGATATGGTGGAACAGAAGATTCAGATCAAGGTTTTGCAGCCGATAAATCCGTAGCAACTGTGTGATGATTGCATGTTAATATGAAGCAAAATCCCTGCGAAATGTTTCCAGTACCTTGTTGAATTTATGCCACAAAATATTAAAGGTAGTTTTTAAGGCAAAAGGGGGTCCAACGTGGTACTAGTAAGGTGTACCTAATAAAGTGGCAGGTGAGTGTATATTAATACTTTAAGTTAAATCTTATTTAAGTCTCAAATAACTGTTTAATATAGGTTTAAATGCAATTGTGATGGCGAAGTTTATTTTTCTTGAGTCAATTGTGTCAGATTTAAGGTCTGTGTGAACCTGAGGTTGCTGAGACTTAATATTTTGTTTGAGTTAGAATTACATCAAAATACTTGAGTAGGCTGGGGGTCTTTCTTTTGTGCATCATTCCCTAAAGTAGAAACTACCGATAAGAGAGGATATTAATATGCAATTGCTATGGAAGCTCTCAGGTTGACATCAACAGAAGCACTACCCCTCCAAATGTGGAAGCAAATGCTCAGACTTTCATTGAAGATTACAAAAACCAACCATTTTTGGAGTGGATTAACTTGCACGGATGTGATAACAATGTGAGCTAGCAAAATAAAAAAATGGTAACTTTTGATTTTAAGCAGACTTTTAAGCTTTAC